CCAAGCAGTCATCAAAGGATGCACGCCGACTTGAAAAGCACGAAAGGTGGTGCATAAAGAGGCATTCGTTTGAGTTAATTTGCACAATTTTTTTCTTAAACGTGGTGACCTAGTGGAAGAGTGTCCAACGCCACTACACGACATGATAAAACATATGGGGCAAAAAATTACATTTAATTGGGGGGAGAAGGTTGGCAGTGACTTTTGTGAAAACTCACTCGCAGTCTGCATGCTAAAGTTGGGCAAAAGTGACATTTCTTAAACGCTCCCACCCAAATGCCACACCCGTCAACGCAGTAAATACTATTCTTTAATAATTTAGTACATAAGTGTGTAATAAAACAGCTAACTTTTAACACTGACTGGTCTTATTTAGCCTTACTTTCGTACTGTAATGAAATACCGAAAACATCTACGGGTAAACTATTTCTGACAAGGATTTTAGCCCATTACAAGATTAGCGTTGGAAGGCAACTTCATGAAACAGAAGTGAGGAGGAAGACGTCAACAGTTGGAAATAATCGTCCACCTAAATTCCTCCCAATTGGACCACTTTTGGGTGTCACTAGTGCAAAAGCCACAGTTTATGCAAAATTACCTGCTTTGTGAAGCGACTTAAAACAGCTCTGTGCACTTGCACTTTTTTTGAGTTATAAACGTGGACGGTTTTGGTGGTTTATTCGCATGAAGTGGGATCACAGAGATTTTTGTTGTGTTCTCCGTATTGAGAAGCTCAATGTTTGCGGTGTGGATGTTTGAAGTAGGCCTGCTTAAGGGAAGGGCAAAACTCACGCTGTCTCAGAACAGAATGAAGAACAATCAGTAATTGTTACTACCAGGTCTGGGACGCATGGGATTAACTTAGATGATATTAATTGCAAGACGCTTTGAGGGAAGTGAGGTGCTACTTGAAGACTGCCCCTTTTTATGCCTTCGCAATTCGACTCCGGTAGAGTCTGCAACCGTTCGTGCATTTAAAGCGACGTTTAAAGTGGCATCCTACACACCTATTTTCCTTCTTTACGACATTCCATTTAAATGGATGCCAAGTGAGTGACGACCTTTTCAGACCAACTACCTGGACAGTGTTTGTCGGTGCTGAGGAGTGTTTTGGTGAAACCGACCAACTTGTGACTTGTTGCTCACAACGCTCTTACAACAGCATGTCGGCTACCCAAATACCTTCTCTAAAAGTTCGGCATCTACCGCCTCTGTGTTACACGAAATCAAAGTGCACGGCCGTTTAAAGGGTTTTTTTGTAAACACCTGCAAAACACTTAGTGATGTGACTTCCATAAATTTTCAGTCAACGTGTTTGCATGCGTGTTTGGTCGCGTCCTTATTGGTTTGAAATGCAGCACCAAAGCAGGGTATTCCTTCCTCAAACACTCTATTCAGGGGCAGCGACTCCGCTTCCCAGCATAGCATTTGAGTGCTTACTTTTTGAACAATTTAAGATTCATCATCACTTTGCCTAGAAGGTTGTTAAAAATTATGGCACACCTTCGTTTGGCGAAAGTCGATTCAATAAAAGCATCGTTTAATTCAACATGAAGCGGAGATTGCAAAATCTGCAATGACAGGCTGTTACCGTCTATTTTGATTGTGATATGTTGAAACAAAACTAGTATAAATTATAATTGTTTGTTAAAGTTTTACCACCTCTGTCAAATGATGTAGTGCTCTGTGGATGACAAGGGAGATTTTCAGTGCACTCGTAGGGGTTAAGCGCTTCGTCGGTCAAAATAAGTGAATCGGACATGTGTTATGAAGCGGATGGTACAGAAGCATTGACTTTACTTTGCAACTTTAAGAGCAAGAGAAACATTGTATGACATGCGAATTAAGGCATCACTTTACATTAGATTTCCAACCTAGTGTTAGGACAGTGCAATTTAATGACGACGGCTGGAAAACCTACCGAATGACGATGCGCCCATTCGGACTGCACTGATTGACTGTGGTAAAGACTCCAATAAAATTGCCCTCCAGTTCATTGAGGCGATGCTTGGAGTAAGCCGTTTGACTTGGGTAGTTTTGTGGCACCTCAAGACTGTGATTTCCAAGAGCTATAAACCCGTTGGAGTAAATCTACAAAAGCATTAGGACGTTGCAATCGGTAGAATCTCCACCCACTTTTATTTGGTCAACTTGCTTCCCGTAGATTTGGAATGGAAACTGAAACATGTAAACCTGCTCGCCCACAGAGGCAGGAAATTCGGTTTTGATGGTATGATTAGAAGTATCTAGGGCAGAGCCTATCGACAGTCGGCTGTTGAAGGCTTTTGTTGGTGTCACTGCACTAAGTAGGCTGATCGCTAGCGCAGCCACCAGCATGGCTAGGCTCAGTCGCATTTGTGTGGCCTTCTTCAAAACCGTATTCTCGGAAGTCTGAAGTGAACACGTCCTGATGAGCGACCGCATTTGTTTAAAAGGTATAGCCCCAGCACCACAGCTCGAATTTGATTGGATGGGGTGGCCGGCCGGAACCGGAATCAACTGGGTGTATTTGTATGAGAGAGATGCAAGTCTTGTGAATCGCGTATCATTATCAGTGAATAGATATCAAAAGAAAATAAAATATACCTTCAAGAAATAAAAAACCAAGGCAGTCAGTGCTTCGACGGCATAGCAATGTCCGATTCGGTACACTTTTTCGCGACTTTGGTTCCAACAAGAATTTGGATTCCACTTTCCTGCAAGTTCATTGGCTCGTTTTATCATCACAAATGTTCACCAAAGTTTCACTCTTATTAGTGCATATTCTGGAAGGTGATTGTGCAAACACATGTCGTTTTAAGCTATACCAGTGAAAAACTGAGTAAGACGTCGAAACAAGTCTCAGCTAGTTGCACTCAATTTTGTTCACCTGTGACCAAAGCGCGATGTCAATCGATTTATTGGCTCGGAGAAATCTGCTCCTCCCTCATCTCCCTTCGGCTCCCTGCTTAGTCATGAGGCGCATGCAGTGCTTTGATTGCCATTTGTCGCTATTTGGCCACTTAGTGCATTGCAACATTCCCATGCAGATGGGTGCGCAGGAAATCTCAGCCGGAGAACAGCGTTGTCAACCTTCTGCATCTGACTCCACTAGCGATGTCCCCTTCTTCGAAAAAAATGTGATGACACTTTCGCTCGACTATGTGTCACAAAAGTCGCTCGACAAGAGGCATTGGGGAAACAGTAACAGCAATACGATGTAACCCCAGTGAATTCCATCGAAGCAAGAATTGAGAACAGCGTGACTAATTTGGCTACTGGTGGATCGTTTTCCTATCGCTTTAATGGAGGAGATTGCCTAGATTTGAGAAGAAAGCATTCATTTTTCCATGTTCAGTTGTTTACTTTTCTGGTTCAGTTGACACAAATGCAAAGCCCAGTGGTGAATACCATTGCCATCTCTGAGTTTTGTTACTTTTTGCAATTTGTGCGAAAACAGTGATCTCTTTTAGAGGAGTTTAAGTCAAATTAATGGAAGGAGTGCGTACCTGGGCGCCTTAGAATGTGGACGTGACATGTCAGTTTTGCCTGTGACAAAAATGATCTGTAATTACAGTTCGAACTTAGCTTTTAGCTTTAGCCGATCTACAGACCATTTTACGTTAATCTGATTCACCCTATTCCTCGGTTCTCCTTCACTCTTTTGTCTATTTCCTTTAAAGCTAAGTAGAGGCACCACAAAGGGTCAGTTGAGATTGGGTGGACCTACTGCCTCCAGAGGTCTTACCTTAACCTTCAACTGAGTTTAAATGTGCTTGTCTACGTAACAATGGTGTACATAGAGGCTTGTGTTTGTTTAGGGTCTAATAAAGGCTCTTGCATCACCACTACACTGACGCCTCGATTTAGCACGAAGTAAAGATGCATCAACATTGCCCTTGAAATGTCTCAGTCGTACAACCACCAAGAAGAAAAGCTGCGTTAAGCATCCATGGAGCTTTGAAGGCCCCTCATTTGCGTACAAATTCCTACGGTATTGCTGGTGGAAGTAATTTTCCAGCAAAGAGCATATCTTGGCGTGTTTATGGTTCAAGGCAGCAGCAGGGACTTAAGTTACTACAAAACTTGTAAACAGTAGTTCTCCTCATTTTCGTTTTACTCCTTTCCAGTTGCTTTTCGTTGGTTTTCATCATCCAGACGAAGAATGTTGAATCTGCTAAATTAATAGTGGAGGGGGCAAATGGATGATGAACGGTTGTCACGACTGCACAAGAATAAACAAACTGCTTGAAAGACTGTGACCAGTCTTGGGGAGGAGGGGAAAATCTAACTGTGCAGCGCATTTAGCTTAAATGCTGCAGTGTACCTAGAGAGAATGCATCAATGTCTTCATAGTGCTTCTCACTGGCGATGCTAACTGAAAGTTCTTCGAAGAGTTTAGGAATGCTGGCACTTATGCGTTATAAGTGATGCAGCTCAAACAATCGACCACCAACAGTAGTAGACTCAGTCTGGCTTAAAGTGAAGAAAATTTGTGATTATAAACAAAAGCCTTCATCAAGAAGTGGCAGACTCCTTGAAAACAAATTACCAAAGGCTCTAACTCGTGAATTCAGTCCTATTCTGAGTGAGCAGTTTTAATTACCAGAAGGACCACGCATTTAGGTTTGTGGAATTTAAGTGGATTTTTTTGTATTCTACGAATCACGCTTAAGAAAGGTAAAAGTCAGGGCTTTGAGGGTTTCGTAACCTGTTCAGTGGAATTGTATTGCAGAAGGTTGTCAAATACCCTGTCGAACCTGTCTAAATTGACTATGGCAACAATTGAGGAAAATTGGTGGTCTTGGAAAGTGCTACTTGATATGGAACAGCGAAGATCAGCCTCGTACTAGATAATACTTTAGTATTTTGTTAAAAATAATGCATTGTATACGAATAAGTTGTCAGTGCAGTCACCATCCCCTACGGTCTGCTTTTTTTGCATGCACCTCATACCCACACCCAAGTTGTGTTCACATTCCTCATTGTAAGGTAAATGATTTTCTGTTGGGCTAGTGGATGTGACCACGCAGCGATGGGTCCAAAAAATAAAGCTAATTGGGAAGTCCTAGAAAAGTCAAAGTTGGTTTATTATACTGCCTTGATGGGTACGTCACAATGGGGGAACCTCCTCTTCCGTGACTGGTGTGTTTCAAATCTGCAGTAGTTCTCAGCACGCCTTTGTTTTGGGTTTTCGGTTCAACGCCATCTTAAATGCACGAGGCACACAAACTCTTTGAACTTCAATTCTGACTTTTACACGATTTATCAGCCTATCCGGTGCCGGAGTTTTAGTGGTACAAATATTAACTATTCCGCTGAATCCTTCTATCTCTTCTTTAAATGTAAATTTTGGCTATTCCTTGCTTCCAAAGCGGTGAGGAATGAAGATGAATGACCGCATGAATTTAAACACACGTCGACCTCAGCACAGAGTGATCAGGTCAGCGTCCCACTCGCATATAAACGTGAACGTTGTCATTTCGCTGACATGGAGTCGCAGTAGTGTCTTAAGGCCTATTTATAGATGAAAGAGGCCAAAAAAAAACTCATATTAAAGGCATGTATTCAGGAAATAGGGGGGAAAATGAAGGCCTCAGAGGCAATATGACCCCTGTGATTACCGCAATTGATGCTGGCAAAGTATCCCACTTGTCATTTTTTTCTCGTAGAATACACCTACTCATTACAAATACAGAAAGCAGTATGAAGCGAATAAATTGCTCTGGTTTGATTGTGCATAATTTGAGTAATTGCGGTCACATCATTGAACCTGCAGACTACAATGATAATCACGGAATTAACTATAATCACGACATCGGTAAGCACTCAAGCTGATTATGTGAGAGCGAATTGTTCGTCCCTTGTACGTCCTATCAAATTACAATAGCAAACTTCTGACTGCAAGTTTTAGCATATTTTAGAGAGGATCTTCAGTGACTGACGGTCACTTTTGTACCCGTCTTGCTCTTACCTGAGTGAGTTAGCCTTCGACCCAAGACTAGGCTCAGCGTAATCTCCTCCTCAAGCATAATTATCAAACTCCACTTTAATGCCTTCTTTCACCCAATGGGGAGCCTCGAGACGTCACAGTGGAGGCAGCAAAGCACGAACTTGACATCTATCCTAGTGCCTACCGTTTGCGATAAACTTCTGCGATGCAAAGAAATGCACATACTTCGGTTAGGAAACTCTTCCACCTTTTTACAATAGAAGGGCTGGAAAAACAGGTCTGTGTTTGACATCGACTCTAAATCAGTGCTTCACAAACAAATTATTAACAAATGACTCGCCACCGTCATAAAAGTATCTGTATAAGTTTCGGTTTGGAGCTCCCCTTGCCATATCCACGCATATGTGTCGGCGGTAACCTTACGCTGATTTTACTGTCTGGCCCTCGACACAACTGATGGTCAGAAGAAGTTCTTTACTCTGAATCCTGCTGTCATACTGAGTGTAACCCCAGGTTCAATGGAAGATTCTAAGAGTGTGTAGTACAATCCCTCAGTCTCATTTTTGCTGGTGACTGGTGCTGTTGGCTCGTGGGTGTTTCTTTGCAACAACGAATGCGGTGCGATGGCTAGTGCGAGAGATGTATCGAATTAAGTGCAGGAGACATTGTTCAAAAGAAAAGAAGGGCAATGTAATACTTCATTTATCTGACTACCTGATTGGCCTGGCCTTCAAGCCAAGCCAAAGCCCAACTTCCTCCCTTTTACCCTAAATGCAAGCATTCAATCCTATTTTCGTGCCTCTTACCTAATTGGATATCTCAAGACATTACAGATACCTACGGTGATCAAGACTATGGCCCAAAGTGAGGTCGAATTTACGCAACTGCATGGATATGTGGGTTTACAATGTATGCCCAAGGTTATGATGGGCCAGAATCGGTTATATAGAAAATAATTATACATGATATATTCATAGAGACGCACGCAACATGATGTTACCTGTAGCGGTGTTACAAAAGTTTTTCTTCCATAAAGTAACAGATTTTTTGTGCCTTTAAGACTGGCCAAGCGATGACAGTTTTGCATGGTAGATCATTTCGCCTTTTAGGTCGGGGAAGTAGGAAACTTTCAAAGTAAATTTGATAAAACGTAAGAATGGTCAAATTAGGTATAACATCACACTTATTGCTTTGTTACACACGAAAGTTGAGCAAACAAGCCCTAAGAACGGTACATGTGTTTCAGTTAATAAAATCAACTCGCACCAAGCCATTATATTTTAATTTTGCTCGTTCGACTGTTTATATGGCGGGCGATCACTTTGATGGTAGTATTGTTTCTGTCGAGTAGGATGGGATTCGATTACGCCAGGTACACCATGTCTTCCCTTCCTTTCTGAATGAGTACATATTTGGGTATTCTGCGTTCTGTTATCTAACATAAATCCCCAAGACACTAAAATAAATCCCTACAACAGGAATGTAAAATGTTGGGAAACACTTTTCACTGTACACGAGCATTGGTCTGTTAAAGTTTGGAGTCATGTTTCTTGATGGAAGGGGTGTACTATCTCATACATCAGCATTAAAAGGAGGCTACATTATGAGAATAAAAACAAGCGACGGCTTTACGTCTGCGTTGATGTTTGATAAAATTAACTTCGACATTTGAAAACACATTAGTCGGTTGCATCGTTCGACCATCATGTCACTCTCCAAGGTGACAACTTTAAAATAAAATGCAGTACTGGATGAATGCATGCGGTCCAGCTATTACAGCATTTCTCACGAATTCAGTAGGATTTTTTGTAGACTGTTGCATTAGATGATGTGCGCCAGATTTCAACAAAATGCCAAAATGTGAAATCACAGCGACACTAACCGTTCTAAAATCATTTACCTGCCTGTTTACGGCACTTTTATTATGTGTTTATTAAGAGGAAAAATGGAGGTTTGTTTTGAATCACGCTTATAAACAGGTCTCCATAACAACGTTGGAGCGCAACTTTTGTCACTATACATGGTCAAATATTCTTGAAGTGTACCATAAATTCAAGCAAACAAAATGGTAAAATCAAATGTCCTTGCGATAATTTATAGTACCAACGAGCTTTAAAGCATAAAAAGAAGGAAGTTGAGGAAGATGCTTTTTTTCTACCATCCATTGAGCCGAAGCGGGTGAAACCCATATGGGCTGGAACATCTCCATCCTTCACAGATTCAAATAAGCGCATTTTAGGCCCTCCCATTTCAGTTGACGTAATCGGTGTTGTTACAAATAGTAAGCATAATTACATTTACTTGGCAATCAGTTAGTGCTTAATTTTGAGTAGTGACCTTTGATCCCGTTGTTTGAGCATATTGTATTGCTGTGCTGATTCCCAGGTACGGTACCGCTTTAGACTGTAAGCAACCTTGCGTTCATTCTCCAACGGGAAATGATTCTTTACCAAACTATCATTTTCTTCTGTATGCTTCTATAACTTTTATGACATCAAAGTGACTTTTGCTTTTGTTATTTTTAATACGATTCGGCTGTGAAAACTTTGTGCTAATTTAATCATTTATCGGAAAACGCTCGATTTGTTTTGTATTTCACAGCTCTTAGTTCCTCTTTCACCAAAATCATACGAGCTTATTGGACTTGTCAATTTTAAGCTCTAGTCCTTCCCTCAAAAGGCGTGTTTTTTAAGATTGACCAAGCTTCGGATATGGGACATTTACCATCTACTCATTCCAATATTTTACCATCCTTATGGGTCCAGTAGTTTTTTGTTACAACCTCTAACTTTTTTAAAATTTCATGTTTACTCACCATTCGCCATTCCATCCTACAGCAAGGGATAGGGCTTTATGTATGGTTTACATGGTATCAGACTGCAGAGGCGGTATTCAAGTAAAAACTAATACCTCCTCACTGCATCAAATCTTTTGTCTTTATGCCATTAATTGGCTAAACATTCAGCGTTTGGATAAGCATTGGCAAGTCATTGTCACGACAGTAATCCAAGTCATTTTTACACATGATGCAATAATTTGTTCAGAATCACAAAGAATAACATAATGATATGATAATATTCCATCATCCAATCCTTGGTCGTGCTAATTTTTAGTCTATGCCTTCACTTATTAGCGAAATCATTACCTCTTTTAGGACACTCCACAAAATCTCGCAAGTCAAAAGATGATGTGAAGTATGAGGCGAGCAAACGCATTAAAAAAGAACAGGAATCCTTTCGAAAATATCTCGTAGATATAATCACGTATGCTGTTAAAGTTGTTAACTTACTTTTAACCCTTTATACAGCGATGGAAAGCAGCCCATCTTCGAGAGCTATATCAGTAGGAATCTTCCTCCGCCGATTGAAGATGGAACTGGAGTTGGAATTAGTAAACGGGAGAGGAGCATTGCTGTAGGAGTTTTGTTTTTTTCCATCATATAACTCTAAATAGAGGTATTACTACTATATATACAATGGGATTGACACAGATCATGTTGCTCCTATGGAGGAAAGTTGGATGATGAATATGAAGAAGCGTATTCGTCCTTCTGTAAAGGTATCGTCGACTAGATCGCCAAACAACTTTATAAACTTTTGCTTCACCGGACTGTCAGGTGTTCTGGCAAACAACTTTTATTTGTTACGATGTTGGGGATAACTATTGCTTTCATTGAAAACGGTTTCGACCATACTAGTAAATGCGAAAAGAAAATTCGAGCGAAGCTGAGTCTTGCCAACAAATGCAGCTGCTTCTATGTTTAAATAGGCGGAAGCAAATGATAAGCTGATGGAACAAATTGAAGATGAAATCCGTGAGGATTACCTGCTAAGTGTGAAAAAGGCAATAGTGGACTTTGTCCTAAAGGATCCCTCTGACCCCAACATAGATGGTCTCCACAAACAGGAAACAGAAGAAGTTACCGCAAAGTTGGAACATCGTCGAGAGCTGGAAGTTGTGCCTAAGCCGTGGCACGGTTCCTTCCTCATTGCACAGCGCTTCTGTCGGGTGCACGTGCATGTAACCAACCGGTGCATGTTGCAAGTCCTCGATCTCTGGTTCTCACAATTTAAGTGAGTGTCTTAACTCATTGGTCGGTTCGATACCATTCTCCTTTAGTCCAAAAACGAAGCATATTTTAATTCAGGTAATCGAACTTCAAGTCTTGGGTGTAATCCCTTAGGTCATTGAAAAGTAGCCCAAACTTCTCAGCTTTCAAACTCTGCATTCCTAACTGACTATTCCATTCTTGGTGTTCTAGCAATCTTCGCCTCATCGATCCCCACGAATTCTACAAAAAGACCTCTGCAATGGAGCTCTCTGCATTTCAACATGCCTGTGTCAAAAATATAGACTCTGCCAAGGAAATACTGTTGAAGAAGTAGGCTTCTCAACGAAAATTTCTCTATAATTTTCTGCCTAAACTATTGTGAATGTCTGAAGTGTCATCACTACTTTAAAGGTGTTAACTCAATGTCTCTCATGGTTTTAAACACGTGTTTGACTTGCATCCTAACCACAAATTAACGCACTTATTTTGGAGAATAGTGCATAGACTTGCAATTGTTAAATAAGTGCGTTTCAATTTTGAAGGTGGCTAAACGAAGTGCAGGGGATTTTCTACCAAGGCAATAGAAGGGGTTATGTGCCTGCCAACAGTGAAATGACCAGGTTGGAGGAGTTCTTTAGGTGCGCAGCTGTGCTAATGACTGGCAACTTGCAATTGTTGGGCCTTAATTCGATGCAGGACTTCACTCGTTTACTCTGTAGTCCACCTGTGAGTTTGGCCTGCTACAGTAACCCTTGCTTTATTTAAATATTCACGATTATGTGGTTTTCTAGCGCCTATATGAGCGAATTACTGCGGATAAGCAATTTAGTGGACACATAAGTTTCGCTAGACTGAAGGTAAGCCGAGATTAATTGTGACCAGGCTGGTCTTCATTGGCAGTATTTGTGATGAAACCAAACATTTAACCTGTCGCTCTAGACTGATAGCCTCGAGCAAATGTCGGGATTTGTTCTTCGGTTGGTGCTGGAGGATAAGCAAATTAAATTCGACCCAACAATAGAGGAGTTTGAAGAAAGCATGATGAATCTGTTTGACAGGATGTTCCAAGTGGTTCAGAGCATTCCTCGCATCGAGACACGTTTGTACGCTGATTGGGTTAGTGATCAACGATTTGTCGGCTCAGCAAACTGATTCACTTATTTAAACCAACCGGGTGTATGTTTCTGTTTAGCAAGGTGCTGGTGGGGAAAAGGTCACCCTTCATCCTGTTATCCTTCCCGAAGTTTTTGAGTCTTACAAGAACCAAGTCAGAAATACACTCAAAAAAGAGTCTCGTGGACCCGAGCATTATCTTCAGACCTATAGTAAATACGAATCTCTCATAAACCGAAAGGTAAGCACATTGAATTTCATCAGTTCTTCTTCAAATTCTTCAAGTTAGCTCATCCAAAACTGATTGCCTAAACAAGCCAACCTTCAATCTCGAAAAAGTTATTGTGCTTCCATTATTTGACGTGGTGCCTCAGTCAAGTTTAAAGTTTCATCTTTACTCCTCGTAATGTCTGAACTAGGCTCCGTGTGACCCAATTAGTTTGGTTGTTGTTACTAGGCCGAGCTGAACATAGAAGCCCTTCTCAACCCAAGCGAGTCGTCTTCGTCTGACTCAGGTAAAAAGCGTCAAGATGATGGAAGTGGCAGTGACGAAACTGTTGAGGAGGACGACGAACTGGAGTCTCTGGAGGACGCCGATGGAGGAGGCGAGAAGGGCCACGTTCAGAGTGCGGACAAAGCACACGATAGACCGAGGGGACCATCCTTTGACGATCTGACCGTGGAGCTGTTGCGCTACCGCCACCTTACCAAGAGGATCCAGTACGAGTCCCGTCGCATCATCCGACTCGGTATGTTCGAGGTTCACGCGGACGAGTTAATCCGTGCCCTCGTGAAGAGGGCCGAAGGCATTGCTGACAAAGTCCTGGATCGTATTCTCGAGGAACATCGGAACATCAACAGATCGTAAGACGATTACAATTCTAAAGAATTTATAATGATGCATTTCATTTATAGGCCCTTAACGCCAAACTGACAATTTTGGCATTCAGAGCAAGTCGCAGAAGTACCATTTGCCCTATACGATCAACTTCTTTTAAGAATAGACAAAATACAGAGAAAACATTTCTAATAAGTAATTCAGCGATAGGAGGTAATTTTAGCGCGAACATATTGTTTATTTTGTGACTACTGAATGACCAAGAGTTATTGGTGTTGCCTGAACGACACTCCGCAGTGCCTTCTCATAATTCGTAAAACGAAATGTTGCCGCTTACAGGCATGGATATAAAGCGCTAGTCCATCGGTACAGTCATCACTTTGGACTTCCTGAGTTTCGGGGTGATTCAAAATCGTCCGCTATTCAAGGTGCAATTAACTTATCTTCAAAGTTGAGAAATTTCCCGTTAAACTTGTTTCCTATAAGCGTTTAAAAAATTGAATTATGTTGAAGTATCACCCAAAGATACTTTAATTCACTTTGAAATGATGATCCAGGTGTCGCTATTGCTTTGAATGAAATAACGATAGGGTGTCAAGAGCCAGTAATAGGGTTTTGCATGAACGCTGAAACGATTGACGGTGGAGCCTTTACTTGTGGGCTACAGTCAAATCATTGCCAGATTGTCCTTTGGTCCAATACTAAGTGAAGGAACATATTATTGCACAGTCCCGAACAATAAACTTGCCATCCACTTTGCATATCGAAGGAGTTGGGACAGCCTAACAGAAAAGTATGCTCGCTTTGTATGGAGTGGACCGTAGAGGGAGTTGTGCCCTAGGAATGAGACTTAGGCAACGTCATATCGCTGTTAGGTGGTTGTGCAGAGCTGGTCCTGTTCCTGCAAATAAAAAGGTGCAAGATCTCATTGCACATTGCAAAGCGTTGGAGGTGCGAGCTTGCCTACATTTTTTGCTTTGCTATGGTGATATTTTGTACAGCGGCTAAAGGTTGACTTTGGCAATGGGAAATGGCATGAGAAAAGGGTATGTAGACTGAAAGTGAGTGAGCGGTAACTGTTTTGAGAGGATAAAAGTTTTGGAGGAGTGGAATTGTCAACCTTATGGTCTGTTTTGGAAGCACTGCTAATTTATAATGATGCTTGTTATGACAAATGAGGGACTGTTGCAATAGTAATTCAGTATTACTACATAAGTCGAACAAAACTGTTGGAAATGGAATGATAATTGTAGGGATAACTTAAATGCATGCATTGATGCTAGTGTTTACGAATCCGGCGATACGACAAGGGCCGAAGAAGATATTATATTCGCGATTATTCAACGGGAAAATGTTTTTTTCTAGTCTTATCCGGCAATATGAGGACATTGCATCGAAAGCCTTATCCATTCCTGCCAGTACGGCTGAAATGATGGATTTGATTGAGTATGTTAAAAAGACCGAAACTGTTACTATGGCGAGAATGGAGCGGGAGTTGGACCACTCCAAGGATCGACTTCTATTTCTCATGGACCATGCTCAGATGAACCCCTCTGACATGCGGATGATTGGCCAAGTATTCGAGTGGCATTCGCGCATGGCTGACATTTTTGATGAGCATAGAAATGTAATGCGTCAAAAGCGCATTGAATTTGAAAACAACCTACGCTACCGAAGGGAAAGGTTCCATGAAGAATTAGATAGTTACAGAAAACAGGTTGATGAATTTCAGCATTTCGGGGACTTGCAAGAAATGGTGCGCTATCTTAAGAAGGCGCAAGCTCTCGATGAACGACTGGAGGTGGCTTTGACTAAGATTGATGCCTTCAATGCCGAAGAGACTGCCTTTGGATGGACCTTGACGAGTTATCCTCTGAGATTAGAAACCCAGACCATTCTAAAACCCTACCTCAGGCTTTATGAGACTACTGTGGAGTTCAATAACAAGAGCAAAGAATGGATGGATGGTCCTATGGAGAAGGTGGATCCAGAGACCGTTGATGCAGATGTAGCAAACTACAATCGCACCTTGTTTAAGCTAGAGAAGACCTTTGAACAGATTCCAGCCCCTCGAAAAATCGCCAGCAAAATACGGCTCAGAGTGGAGGAGTTTAAGGAACATCTACCGCTGGTGATGACACTGTTTAATCCAGGTTTAAAGGAAAGACATTGGCAACAGATTTCTGATGTTGTGGGGTACACTCTTCGTAACGAGGAAGGAATGTGCTTAGCTAAACTAATAGACATGAATCTCGAAAGCTTTATCCCTAAGTTTGAGTCCATTTCTGAGGCTGCTACCAAAGAATTCAACTTGGAGAAGGCTTTAGCCAAAATGAAGAAAGAATGGGAACCGGTAAGAAGTTACCCAACTTTGTCTTTGTCTACCATTTACTTATCAATGGTTTGATCTTGTTTGCATGTCTATCCACTGTGTAACCAAGGCAAACCAAGTTTAGATTGTGCAGTGAATGCTGTGGGGGTGAGGCATGATTCGATGCCGAGTTACTTGTGAGAAAGGTGTCATAATCTCCCAAAGCATTGCCTCGTCTGACATTCTTTGTTTTAACGCCTAATATGATTATTAACTTAGATATTTAGGCAGACCATTGTCATCCCTTTTTTTTTTGTTTCTAAAGCGCCAGTCATACATTCTAATGGCTTTCGGAATCAAGTCATAATCTTTTTTTTATCATCTTTTGCATTAAGCTTGAATTCACACTCTTGCCGTATCGGGACAGCGGTACCTACATTGTGTCGGCGGTTGATGATATTCAGCTAATTCTTGATGATCACATTGTAAAGGCTCAGACAATGCGTGGATCACCCTTCATCAAGCCCTTTGAAAATGAAATAAGGTAGGGATTCGTCTTCCCTTTCACCAGTGAATTACATAATGACATCTCTATACAATTTTCGTTGAAAATACGTTTTTTTGCTTACTGTCCCACAAAATTACTAAAGCTTAAGTCCCAAAATCATTGGTTCATTGGCAAAAGGAGAAGAAATCATGCTGAGGATGGAGCAAAAGCAAGTCCACTTTTTATAAGGTTATTTTATAGAGTGACTACAAAACTGCGTAAGCGTAAAGTTAGGGGTGCAGTCATTAGGGCAATTATCAGTCGAACGACACGATTTTATCAGCCTTAAGCAGCAGGTCTTATTAGATTCTTATAGCCATGCTCTTTCCTTGCCCTAAGAAGACTTGCGCCATGGTGGCGTACCTTTCTTTCAGTGGCTGGCAGTGAACTTCCTAGTCCAAGCTGCTAGGATCGTTCTAGAATTTGTAGCTGGACGTTTCAAATTTTATTCTCCATTCACATCACATTTACCTTTTTTTAGGGAATGGGAAGCAACCCTTGTATTAACTCAAGATGTTTTGGACGCCTGGCTCAAGGTGCAGGCGACTTGGCTTTACTTAGAACCCATCTTCAGTTCACCAGATATAATGGCTCAAATGCCCGACGAAAGTCGCAAATTCACATCTGTGGACAAGACATGGAAGGAACTCATGAAGCTTGCTGTCGCGGATCCCCATGTCCTTGCCGTCATTAAGATCGATAAGATGCTAGAAAAGTTTCGCAAGGCGAATGACTTCCTTGAAATCATCCTCAAGGGCCTAAATGCATACCTAGAGAAAAAGCGGCTTTGCTTTCCCCGCTTCTTCTTCCTCTCTAATGATGAGCTGCTTGAAATCCTCTCCGAGACCAAGGATCCAACTCGTGTACAGCCTCATCTTAAAAAGTGCTTTGAAGGCATCGCTAGACTTAACTTTACGGAGGATCTGGAAATTACACACATACGCAGCAGTGAAGATGAGGTTGTTATGTTAAAGGACGTTATCTCCACTGCAAAAGCACGTGGAGCAGTTGAGAAATGGCTTATTGAATTGGAAAGCGATATGACTGCATCGGTACGCTTGAATATCCTCAGTTGTTTGGAGGACTATATGCAAACTACAAGAAGGGATTGGGTAAAACATTGGTGTGGACAAGCTGTCTTGGCCATCACGATGACGTATTGGACCTCCAACTGCACCAATGCTATCAATAAAGGCCTGAAAGAGCTTGTCTCATACATGCAGGTATGTTCTTCGAAGTTTAGTGGATTTGAAAAGCATCGATAAATGTAGTACCTGAGATACTCAAGAATGGAGCCTAACTTTGTTAAACCAAAATCCTACCTAGATTACACCAAGTTAATTCAGAGGTCTAGCTTTATGCATAACCGTCTTCCTTCAACAAACTTCTTAATTCTCTGACACTTTCTTTACTTTTTAAATGGATAATTTCAATGGTAAACAACCATTAGCCTTTCGTTCCTTGTAGGAAAACACGCGGCAAATTGAGGAGATTGTTGAGATGGTGCGCGGTAAACTTTCAAAGCAGAATCGGACGACACTGCAGGCACTGATCGTCCTGACTGTGCACGCGCGTGATGTGGTGCAGACGCTGGTGGACGAGAAGGTCAGAAGTGATACGGAGTTCCCTTGGCTCAGCCAATTACGCTATTATTGGGAAAAGGACCAATTACAAACACGTATGATCAACTCGACTCTTGCGTACGTTAGTCATGCCTCCCTTTTTACTGTCTTCCCTGATTGACGGCACAAACCCGACACATTGTAGCTAAATATCAAGTAGTCTTAGATAATCCTATCCTTCTTCAGACGACGTTGCAGACACAATACCTATTAAAGTAATCTATATTGCACTATTCATTAGCTCTCCTTCAAATGCTATTTCAATGAATTGCTATTGCAATGCAGTCAATGCATCGAAAGTCAGGCATTCAAAAACCCTATATGTTATCATACTCTCAGTTACGGTTATGAGTACCTGGGAAACACGCCTCGCCTGGTCATCACTCCACTGACGGACCGGTGCTACCGTACACTGTTTGGAGCGCTTCATCTGCACCTAGGTGGCGCTCCTGAGGGTCCCGCAGGCACAGGCAAAACAGAAACCACAAAAGACCTCGCCAAGGCCGTTGCTAAGCAATGCGTCGTCTTCAACTGTTCTGACGGTCTCGACTATATCGCCTTAGGAAAGTTTTTCAAGGCAGGTGTCAAAACGAAGCTAATCTACACAAATGGCTAACAGCCGTCTACTAGTTGGTTTTAAATACCCAAGCACATTGCAGCTAATGCAAACAAATCAGTTTTGATAAGTTCAAACAAACTTTTGTCGTATGCCACTTTTATATCACGACATTTCTTGGATCCCCTAGGGTTTGGCTTCCTGTGGTGCTTGGTCGTGCTTTGACGAGTTCAACCGCATTGATTTGGAGGTGCTGTCCGTTGTTGCTCAGCAGATTTTGACCATTCAGATAGCCATAAATTCTGGGAAGGATAGACTCGTTTTTGAAGGCACCGAACTTATTCTCGACCCAACATGTGCTGTCTTCATTACCATGAACCCAGGGTACGCCGGTCGCTCAGAATTACCGGACAACCTGAAGGTATTCATATAACCCTCTTCACCTTCAAAGCATTTTACTTGAATACTTAGTAGCACCTTGCCTACATTTAAGGCACTCTTCCGTTCGGTGGCAATGATGGTACCAGACTACGCAATGATTGCAGAAATTTCACTATATTCCTGCGGATTTGTCACTGCACGACCGTTGGCTGTCAAGATTGTTGCCACCTATCGGTTGTGCTCTGAACAGCTCTCCAGCCAACCCCACTACGATTATGGCATGAGAGCGGTTAAATCAGTACTCACCGCTGCTGGCAACTTAAAAGTGAGTGAAAGTTGCATCATCATATGCCAATCTCTTGCTAACAAGTTGCGATCGTTCTGTTGTGTCAATCGATGTGTTAATTTAATGTTGCATCAAGGGGGTGAGCATACTTTTTCTGTACTTTGTGGTCTAGCTCCAATACCCAGATGATAACGAAGACGTGTTAATGCTTCGCTCTATAATTGATGTCAACTTGCCCAAGTTTTTGAACCATGACTTACCTCTCTTTCACGGCATCACTTCTGACCTCTTTCCGGGAATCAAATACCCTGACCCCGACTATGCGATTCTCAATAACGCTGCCAAGCGCGCTTGCAATCATATGAATTTACAATGCACCGATTTTTTTTTGACGAAAATCCAGCAAATCTACGAAATGATGATCGTTCGACACGGGTTCATGATCACTGGCTATCCGTTTGGTGGTAAAACCAGTGCTTATCGAGTGCTTGCAGAAGCTCTAGGTTATATCTGCGAGCAGGCAAGTTGAATAATGACGTCTTGCTCATTCCAAATGTCTTCCTGATTAATGAGTCTACTTTTGGATGGGCAGGGGCTGATGGACGAAAATAAGGTTCAGATTACAGTGCTAAATCCAAAGTCCATCACGATGGGTCAGTTGTATGGTCGGTTTGACCCAAACTCCCATGAGTGGTCCGACGGTGTCCTAGCTGTCTCCTACCGAGCTTTCGCAGTGTCTCAAACTCCAGATCGAAAGTGGTTGGTGTTTGATGGTCCTGTGGATGCTGTCTGGATTGAGAACATGAATACAGTCTTGGACGACAATAAGAAGCTTTGTCTCATGTCTGGTGAAATAATCCAACTGGCGCCTACCACCAATCTCATTTTTGAGCCGATGGATTTGGAAGCAGCCTCTCCAGCCACAGTCTCACGTTGCGGTATGATCTACATGGAGCCCAGCAGTCTTGGTTGGAGACCAATTATGCGTAGTTGGCTGGCCAAAGTACCTCCTGGACTGAAAGAAGCTCAAAAGAAGATTATCGAAAACATGGCTGAGCGCTTTATTGACGCAGGTCTGGCTATGGTTCGCAAAGGTGCTGGGAAGGTATTATGAATTGTTTAAGCATTATTACGAGGCTTGTCTGAAAACGATGACTTTTATTCTGCTGCACAGGAACTCTCACCAACAACAGACATAAACTTAGTCAGAAGTCTTACTAATCTGATTGACTGCCAACTTGACGACTTCAAGGAGCCGGATGTTATTACCTATAATGGTGAAGACGGTATCAACTGTATTATAGAGGTACGTCTCTTCAAGCAGCAATTTTTTTATCTGGTATTCTGTCACTTATATCTTGATGTCGAAGGCCAGGTCGTCATTATCCATTCATACGCAACGCAGTAATTTGAGCTGTGTTATCATTGAATGACGCCTAAATTGGTTGTAAGACCTCCCATTATCAACATATACATCCAAGCAATTGCTTCCTTAGCCGTCGGTTTATAATCGTGTCTTTCATTCATTCTGAACACTGGTATACTTTTTTCACAATTTAATCGTTGTCTGACCTTTCCTAGTGCATCTTTCTGTTCTCCTACGTGTGGTCGATTGGTGCCACGAAGGATGACACGGGTCGTAAGCGGTTCGACAAGTTGACCCGCGAGCTCATGAACGGAGGCATGACCGAAGACACCCAGCGATATCTGGCTTTTGTGGAGCAGGTTCCTCCCCCAATGGAGGATTATAAGTTTCCTTTCCCCATCAAAGGAAGTGTCTATGATTATCGTCTCGACTTCACTGTACGTAATCCGAGCAGATTCGATCGCCAAATAAATTAGAAAGGCGCATACTTGGGATTTCAACTTAAGTTGCCCCATTTTTCGGCACATAAAGCCGATGATTACGATCTACTGTTAAGAGCCAGTTGAGTATTAACTATTTCCCTCTAAAATGTACTTTGACTTTTAGATTAATAAACCTAGCAAGGATCAGGTGAGTTCTGGATTCTTTTATTGGCAGATTTGAAGCAAATTGTATCCCTTACTACATTATTTTTAACTGCTTGCCGCAGGCGAAAGGTCAGGTAAGCAGTTAATGTGTTTATAGTTCTGCTGTACTATGGATTTCAGGTGTTTTGGGGAGAATACTTCTCTCTTAAATGTTTGCTTACAATTTTCGCTTCTACTTAACCCCAATAGCCACTATCTACTTTTAGGTATTGAGAGATGATGAAGATGTAAGTAAGCCTCATTTTGTTGCTTATTAGCTTTACATTATTTTTGAAACCTACCGCAGTGAACGTTCGTTCTCTAATGTAATGCAGGAATTCAAGAAACGTGTGTTGATCTAAAGCGCATCTTTGTTCAGAGTCATCGCCATGTTGCTTTGCGCATCCCAGTTAATTACGCGAGTAGAGGCCAGTATCCCATTTATTCTTTGTTTTGGTGTCGGGTCTCCCAAATCGGACTGCGTTTACAACATCGCAGTAATGGCAGGAACGAAATAGACACGCGGTTATCACAGCACACCAGCCTGATCCTCAGACAGGCGACTGTTAGCCTTCACTACTGAACTTTGCTTAATGCTTAATGCTATTGGAGATACAATGACTACAAACACCTTTTAATGTTTTTTTGTCTCTTCTTTAGCTTGAAACAGTAAGTAATGGAGATTGCGTCATGGCACCCTCTTTGAGCAATTGAACTCATTTAAATTTTGTCTCCAGGCTGGCTTGACAACAGTAGACGAGGGCGAGAAAAATGAAGGTAGTACTATTGAAGTAAGTTCCTGTTTGCTTCAATTGGAAACATTTATTACTTGTTACTGACTTACGACCATCATTGGAATTTGCCTCGATAGACGTGAGCAACTTCAGTGTTCGCGCTTTCAAACTCTGAATACAAATTAAAAATTTGTTATAATTGCGAAACTTTGGTGCATTTTGTTCAGAGGTAACCACATGCCTCTGCAAACTGGCTATGCGCTGTCTGCTTTGCTACATACTCGAAAAGGAGGCCTCCTACTTTTCCCAAAAAAATTATTAAAACTATTTAACCGTATATTGTCAAGCTTAAGATCCATTGAATCAAAAGGATTGCTGAAAGTTCTAGAAACCACTGTTTTTTGGTGTTTCAGTACCCAGTGAAGTGGATACAATGGCGCGAGATTGTGCGTACCATGCCCGCCATTCCTAAGGATGCCACTTTTAACGAGATTATTGTCAGCACGGTGGACACTGTGCGAACGATGAAGCTGCTCGACCTTCTCGTGAAGCACCGCAAGGCCTGTCTCTTTGTCGGGCCCACGGGTACCGGGAAATCGTGCTATATAGTGGCAAGTGTTTGTCGAGCTATGGCAAACTAAACTTCGATCTCCTTATCAGTTGGTTTTGAGTAGTATTTTGGGACATTTTGCGTTAATTTCAATTTCTTGGAAGGGAGCGGCACATGTTAAAATGCGAGATTAGTCTCGGTTCGTTGGTCAAATAGACTGAAGGGATTGTGCCATCTACCATAACGCTTATTATAATTCAACATTGTATAGCATTTGATCGAATACTTATAGGTGCATCCTCGTTTCGAAATAAGCAATTTCAATGCAACGCAGCATTGAACATCTGCAAGCACTGACAGCTCCAGGGTCATCAAAAGTTGACCTCTCCGAATATAAGAGAACTTATTTGCATATAGTTATTTCACCTATTATTTCTTATATGCACATTTGTATTTAACTGTCAAATTGATGTCTAATTAATTTTATTTTATAGAATTTTCTTTTTAACATTTTGGATAAAAACGTTTACAAGCCGAACGTAATCAACTTCTCGGCACAAACTAGCGCTAATCAGACACAGAATATGATAATGGGGAAGTTGGATCGTCGCCGGAAGGGAGTATTTGGACCGCCTGTTGGAAAACGAATGATCTGCTTTGTTGACGACTTAAACATGCCTGTGCGGGAGATCTATGGGGCCCAACCACCCATTGAGCTGCTCCGTCAATGGCTCGATCACGGTAATTGGTGAGTGCTTACTCTTTCTCTTTTGATGTTTCCATTGTCAGTGTCTCCTTCCCACCGACTAACGTAAAGGGCAACATGTCATTCAAAGGCAAGTTTAGTAATAAGTGATGTCAAGTGTTTTTATGTGTCACGCTGGCTACTGTTTACCATCCGGGCACGGACAACGCATGGATACTGGTCATCTCCATTCTGCCTACATAGGTATGACTTAAGGGACAATTCGGTCTTGAAATTAATCGACCTCCAGTTTGTGGGTGCAATGGATCCACCAGGCGGTGGACGTAATCCTGTGACTCCTCGATTTCTGCGGCACCTAAACACAATTGCGATAAACGATTTCTCCGAGGATACCATGAAAACTATTTTTAACAAAATTTTGAACTGGCACTTTATGGTTCAGTAAGTTTTATAACCATGCAGTAGGTGGAATTTTTAGCCTATACTTATTGAGGCTAATCTTTGTATTTCAAGCGTGTATAATTTAATCACGCAGGCTATTTCACATGCGTATGCCAAAGTTTCATTAAAAAATGATCATTCGTTCAAAGTGAAACGACTGCAACTTTAGTTCATCTGATTTTTATCTTCATGCCAAAATCAACAAAGGCTGCATACATTTAATTGTAGCAATTTTTCGAAGGAATTCAGCTCGGATTTGGCTGATATGTTAGTGACTGCCACATTTGAGGTTTACCAACAATCCACTTTAAATCTGCTGCCGACCCCGGAGAAGTCGCACTACCTCTTCAACCTACGCGACTTCAGCCGCGTCATTTACGGCCTGATGCTGAGTCGACCTGAATCAACGGCCGCTCCAGTTTCATTGAAGCGTCTCTGGCTTCACGAGGTACACCGAGTCTACTACGATCGTCTCATTGACGACTCGGATCGCTTGTGGTTCTTTGAGATGGCCAAAAATATTCTCAAGGACAAATTGGATGTTGATTTGAATAAGCTCTGTAGAAATCTAGCTGATAAAAGTGGTGAGGTAATTATACCTTTAATGGCGTTTCAAACCACAACTATTCCTCAATGTTGACTAGATTCTTTGGAAATGAAATTTACCATTCCAAGTTATTCTTCCAGTTTTACTCATTCTTAATTACTGATATAGTATTTAAAATATTCAACTATGTAGGTGCACTACACTGCCCCTTAGACTATCCTATTAATGCAAAACCGGTTCAGTTGCGTATGAGATTCGAATATCTTAATCATTAGTTTACCTCATCAACACACTTCTGAAATTTTTTGCACACTGCTTCATTTGAAATGCAAAAACAGAATGGTTGAAAATTAATTGTTTTGCGAAAACTAGCCAGAATAAATTTAATGTTTATTATGAAAACAAGGGGAACCGAACAAAGCAAGCTATATTGCCATGACACGAGCTGACTTTGAGATTGCTTAAAGGTGGTTCTCATTCACCCAAATATTTTTATTTACACAGTCCTTTTTCTTCCATCTATGCTCAATTAAGAGTAAGGTATGCCTTCAAGTGTCCGCTCATTGCAGGTGACTCAGGATAGTTTGCGCTCCCTGATGTTTTGTGATTTTGTGGATCCAAAGGGAGATCGACTCTACGTGGAAGTGCCTGACGTTGAGGCATTGCGTAAGATTGTAGAAGGTTTCCTAAACGAATACAATTCAATGAGCAAGAAACCAATGAATCTGGTCCTATTTCGCTTTGCCATTGAGCACGTCTGCCGCATCACTCGCATCCTTAAGACCCCAAGGTCTCACGCCCTCCTCGTTGGTGTTGGAGGCTCCGGAAGACAGTCTCTCACCCGGCTTGCCGCTCACATCTGCGATTATGACCTCTTCCAAGTAATTTCGAAGCACCAATTCACTAGATTAACTAAGCCAGATCTTAATGTAATTGCTTAAGATAGCTAAGCATGTACAAGATGCGTTTAGTCAGATGGCACTTACGTCTTCCAATTCTTGAAAAAAATCACTTGAATCCGGCAAAATTTTTACTGACTGGGCTAGTTGATTTCCTCTGAGATCCTGGTAACGGACGTTTATTTGCTATCAGATACTGTGCAGATGTGATTGCGCTGCCGAGAAATTGTTGAACGTCACTACCCAACATTACATCCTTTTGCTGCATTTGTCGAATCTAATTGCCTAATTTGTCTGTCAGGACTCGTTGCATAAAGAAATTTATCTTCTCTTTTTATTGTCTAGGTGGAACTATCCAAAGCTTATGGTATGAACGAGTGGAATGAAGACATCAAACGCATCTTGCGAAAGACCACAGAGACGGAGAATCACGGTGTCTTCCTCTTTACTGACACTCAGGTGAAGCAGGAATCGTTCGTGGAAGATCTAAACAACCTTTTGAATGCTGGAGAGGTACCTAACCTCTTCCCTCCCGATGAGAAGCAGGAAGTGTGCGAGAAAATGCGTGTTCTTGATAGGCAACGCGACCGAAGCAAGCAGACTGACGGCTCACCAGTGGCTCTCTTTAATTACTTTATTCAAAAGACTCGGGATCAGCTTCACGTGGTCCTTGCATTCAGCCCTATCGGCACTGCCTTCAGGCAAAGACTCAGAATGTTCCCATCGCTGGTCAATTGTTGCACAATAGATTGGTTTCATGTAAGTTTTCACTCATTACTCCTAGTTACTTGGAGCCAGTGCATGCTCAACTGCAGTTATGCCAACTTACTCCTTGAAACGAGTGGATATTCAGTTGTTTCCAAATGTTCCCCTTCGAAGCCAAAGATTGTACCATGTCTAAATGAAGGAAAATTATGTTTCTTACCTAGTCATGGCCTGAGGATGCACTGACAGCTGTCGCAACAAGGCAATTACAGTCCGTAGAGATGTCTCCAGAAGTTCGACAAGGCTGCATCAATCTGTGCAAGTACTTCCATACAAGTACTCAAGACCTATCCCTTCGATATCGACTGGAGTTGGAAAGGCATAACTATGTCACCCCGACATCTTACCTTGAACTCATTTCTACTTTTATAACACTTTTGGACGAGAAGAGGAAGTATGTTATTTTGCAGTGCTTAAGAACTGTTACTGAATCCCTTTCGAGTAATATTAACCGAAAATGGCCCACTTATATCGTTGCGATTTGTGTAGAATTTGTTGCTGCTAAGGAAAATGTGTCATAAGTGGGTTTGTAAAGATAATGATATTGTTCTACTTGTTTTTACACCTGAGGTCCGTGCTGACCCAGAAAAGTCGGTACGAAGTGGGTCTGGAGAAGCTAGGCAGCGCAGCGGAGGACATCACTTTAATGTCGAAGGAGTTGATGGAGCTGCAACCGAAGTTGCTGCAGGCGAGCAAGGAGGTGGACGCAACTATGGCGATAGTGGAGAAGCAGAGCACTGAAGCAGCTAAGCAAGAGAAGGTGGTGCGAGCTGATGAGGCGGTAGCCAACGAACAGGCTAGCGCTGCGCAGGCTATTAAACAGGAATGTGATGATGACCTTGCTGGGGCCATTCCCATTCTTGAGGCAGCTCTCAAGGCCCTTGAAACTCTTACTCCCGCAGTACGTTATATCTTATTGCTCTTCTTCCAAAACAGAAGTGCAATTTTATTCCAAATGCATATTTAATCTTAGGAGCAGTCTTTCCTCTTCTTTGTCTCTCATGAAGTCCCATTTCGATTATATATTTGCCACATGTGAATGCAAAATTCTCAAAAGTTTGTACTTTGCTATTAAGTACATTATGAACAAACTTGTAACAGAAATTACGTATGTACTTGTTAAATGAACGATGGTTTGCACATGGAGGCGTGAAATTCGTACTTAATCACTTAATTGCTATAGGATATAACAATTGTGAAGACCATGAAGTCGCCCCCAATGGGTGTCCGGCTGGTCATGGAAGCGGTTTGTGTACTGAAGGGTGTCAAACCGGATAAAATTAACGATCCTGGTGGTTCTGTAAAAAAAATTGACGATTTTTGGGGCCCATCCAAGAGACTTCTTGGCGACATGAAGTTCTTGGAACACTTGAAGACCTACGACAAAGACAACATTCCCGAGGCGATTATTAAGACGATTCGCGAGAAGTATATTCCCAATCCGGACTTTAAACCTGAAAGAATTGCCGTTGCCTCCACAGCAGCTGAGGGTCTCTGTAAGTGGGTCATTGCTATCGACGCCTATGATAAAGTTGCAAAGATTGTTGCACCCAAGAAGATTGCTCTTGCGAAGGCTATGGAAGAATATAATGCCGCTACGGAGGCCCTCAATAAAAAGCGAGCCGCCCTCAAGATTGTGCAAGATAAGCTTCAGGCCCTCACCAATGAACTTAACGTTAACAAACAGAAGAAGATTGATCTTGAAAATAAGGTGGACATCTGTACAAAGAAATTGGAACGCGCCGAACAGCTAATCGGCGGCTTGGGTGGTGAGAAGCAACGGTGGACTGACAATGCCAAGAGCCTTGGGGAACAATATACCACTCTTACAGGGGATATTCTAGTCTCCAGTGGAGTGGTAGCCTATTTGGGCGCCTTCACTCCTATATTTAGAGCTGAGCAAGCGGGTGATTGGCTTGCAAAGGTCCAAGCTTCGGTGATACCGTGCTCTGATGTGTTCAGTCTCGTCGCCACTCTCGGTAGCCCCGTGGCTATCAGAGCTTGGAACATCGCCGGTTTACCAACAGACGACTTTTCCATCGAAAACGGTATTATAACAACGTCAGTTTTCCATTTAAAGATTTATCTTGCTTGCTTTATTCCGGTGGCTTCATGAATAAATGTTTTTCATTACAGTACGGCCCGCAGATGGCCACTCATGATCGATCCACAAATGCAGGCAAATAAGTGGATTAAGAACATGGAAAAGAAGAATAACCTGGTTATTTTGAAACTGTCGGACAGTGATTTTGTTCGAAGTATGGAGAACAGCATTCAATTTGGGATACCAGTGCTACTAGAGAATGTGGGCGAGGAGTTGGATCCCGTGCTGGAGTCAGTCCTTTTGAAGCAGACTTTCAAGCAAGGCGGTGCTCTGTGCATTAAATTGGGGGATTCAGTCATAGAATACTCACCAGAGTTCAGATTCTACATTACAACGAAGGTTGGTCCATTTATTTACAAGCTAGATTTCCCCTTATATCTATCTATCGTTACTTTAAGCGGGAAAGCAGGCTGTTCTTTCGAAACAAGTAAAATTCAATTTCAGTAACGTGTAGCTGTAAAAGATCCAAGCAAATTGTATCATTGGCGCAAATAATGCATACGTATACGTACTTCTTTTTAGCTTCGAAATCCTCACTATATGCCTGAGGTTGCAGTAAAGGTTACTTTGGTGAACTTCATGATTACCAGCGAAGGTCTTAATGACCAATTACTAGGCATTGTGGTAGCTCGTGAGCGGCCTGAGCTGGAAGACGAGAAGAACAAACTCATTCTTCAAGGTGCCGCAAATAAGAAGAAGTTAAAGGAACTGGAGGATCAGATCCTTACTGTGCTCTCTGCATCAGAAGGCAACATTCTAGAAGACGAGAGTGCTATCCAGGTTCTAAACTCCTCCAAGGAGCTCTCAAATGAGATCGTGGAAAAGCAGTCTTACTTCGAAGAGACAGAGAAGAAGATTGATGCCGCCAGGATGGGCTACCTTCCCATCGCCATTTATACCTCCGTTCTCTTTTTCTCCATTGTTGATATGGCCAATATTGACCCAATGTATCAGTATTCCCTTTCCTGGTTCATAAATCTTTTCAACTTAGCCATTGAAAACTCAGACAAATCAGACGATTTACAACAGCGCTTAGAAATCTTGAAAGACTACATCACGTACTCACTCTATTGCAACGTTTGTCGATCCCTATTCGAAAAAGACAAACTGCTCTTCTCCTTTCTGTTGGTGATAAATTTAGGTAAACATAGAAACGAAATAAACGAGGCAGAATGGCGATTTCTCCTCACTGGTGGCGTTGGTCTTGACAATCCGCACTCCAATCCATCGTCTTGGCTTCCGGCAAAGCAGTGGGATGCACTCTGTCGTATGTCAGCACTCCCTAGATTCACCAAGCTCAGAGAGAATTTCACCAGTCGGTTATCACAATATCAAGCAATTTATGATCACCCAAATCCACACACCATCCCTCTCCCCAAACCGTACGACGAAGAGATTACAGACTATCTCGGTAAAATGCTCTTCGTCCGCATTCTTCGTCCTGACAGGATGACTTCCATCGTTCAGGACTATGTTGCTGACTATCTTGGAAAAAAATTCATTGAACCTCCACCGTTTGACCTGCCTGGATCTTTTGCGGACTCCAATAGCACCACACCTCTGCTGTTTGTGCTTTCACCTGGCTCCGATCCCATGGCTGCGCTACTCAAATTTGCAGACGATATCGGTTTCGGTGGCACCAAGTTCGAATCTCTCTCACTAGGTCAAGGTCAGGGCCCTATTGCCCAGAGGATGATGGGCAGTGCCATCAAGGAAGGGACGTGGGTTCTCTTGCAGAACTGTCACCTGGCTCCTTCTTGGATGCCCACCTTGGAGAAGCTTGTAGACGAGATCGAGCCGAATACCACTCATCCCGATTTCCGACTCTGGTTGACCAGTTACCCTAGTGCCAATTTCCCAGTGACTATTCTTCAGAATGGAGTCAAAATGACCAACGAACCTCCAAAGGGCCTAAGATTCAACCTCTGGCGATCCTACCTAAGTGATCCCATCGCTGATCCAGAGTTCTTTTCCACTTGTCTGAAGCAGGGCATTTGGAAGAGGATGCTTTATGGTCTGATCTTCTTCCATGCTGTGGTACAGGAGAGGAGAAAATTTGGACCCCTGGGATGGAATAATCTTTACGAATTTAACGAAACCGATTTGCGCATTTCTGTCCGACAGCTGCATATGTTCCTCAATCAATACGATGTGAGTATCATTGTAAACGGAATTTTAAAATTCTGCCTATTCACATTGCCCATCTCAATTGCACTCATCTACTATACAAAGCCCCATTTCGAAAGCACCTGACAGCTCTCTCTTTTGAATTTTTGTAGTGTTTTTGTCGGTGGTTTTTTATAGAATTCAAGTTTATGGGGATTATTTAGTCAGGTAAATTGACTAATGTAGAACTAGTGTGCTTGCTGGTTTGCTTCAAACATTTTTTCAGACAATCCATTACGAGGCACTCCGATACCTGACGGGAGAATGCAATTACGGCGGTAGAGTAACGGACAGTTGGGATCGGCGCACTCTTATGACCATATTGGAAAAATTTTACTGTCCTGCCCTGGTTGACGATCCAGACTATAAATTTGACGAAAGTGGACTTTATTTCGTCCCGTCTGAACGGAGCGTAAGCCTGAGTCGATTCTTCTTCCCCATCTAAGCTGAGAACTCCTGTTAGGCAGCTCTGCTCCTCAACCAATGTGCATCTAGACTGCCGACAATAATAAACATTTTCTAAGTTCAAGCAATTAAGTGCAAATGGTTTTCTAAATTTCATTTGGAATAATAGCAGATTTAGCGTTGACAAGAAATGCTCTCATCAACCGTATCTAATAGCATCTTAAAAGCGCAGTGCGTTGTCAACTCTGGCTTTGATGTCTCGACATAAGTTCAGATTTGTTGATGTAAACATACTCTTTGAGTAAGTAGAAGGTTTACTCCTATGCCTTTGAGCATTTCTTTGAAGCCATTAAAGTGCCACGTAAATTTTTTAACCTGGAGTCTTAGCGTCATGCATGAGCTCTATTTAACTGTGAATGCCTCTTGGGTTGACGTTCATAAAAAGTTATATTCATTAGCCTCCTGTGCTGCAAATTTATTTGCCCTTCAGTACGAAGAATACATTGATTTTATCAAAACGCTTCCATTAAATCCTTCTCCGGAGATCTTTGGAATGCATCCAAATGCCGACATAACCAAAGACAATCAGGAAACGGCACTGCTTTTCAACAGCGCCCTTCTCACTCAGGTTGGTACTTCGATTTAACTAAATGCCAATTGCTGAATACATGACTACAGAATTAGGCGATATTTTGGACAGTAACTACTATTTTAGTTGCTTTTACGAAACTCTACCATAGTTTCATGTTATCCATGCGCATTTCGAGTCTATCAGAGCTGAAGCACAATAGTAATTTCCTTTATTCGAGTCAAAAGGGAGTTCATCATCAGGAGCCTCCCAGGACGAGATCTTAGAGGGCGTGACAGCGGGTATCCTCAATCGTCTCCCTGAGAACTTTGACCTCGAGATGACCTTGCGAAAGTATCCTACCCTCTACGAGCAGAGCATGAACACGGTACTGGTCCAGGAATTGACACGCTTTAATCGGCTACTGGACATAATTCGTACCAGCCTGACTGATCTACGCAAAGCCATTAAGGGTCTGATTGTGATGTCACCCGATCTTGAGAATGTGGTCGTCTCCATACTTGAGTCTAAAATTCCCGCAATGTGGATGGCCAAGTCCTATCCTTCACTCAAACCACTAGGCTCCTATATCAACGATTTCTTACTACGGATTCAATTCTTTCAGGTGTGGTAATTGGTTTTATAAGGTGTTTGTCGGAATTGTCTGGTCGGCGGTTATTGTAAACCCAAGTATTTGAAGAGGTCGTTGAGAACTTAGCTCGTTAAAATGAAAGGTCTTAACCGATGTACAAAGGCTGGAATGTGTGCACCATTTTTGGTGAGATTCCAGTCAGAGACATTACTCAAGACATGCTTTAGACGCAGCAATATCTGTCGCTTTTTGTATGCCTTGCTATATTTTTATGCAAACCGTACTAAAATTCCACTCTCAAAAGGCATTTACCATTAGTAATGCCTTCGAATTATTAAACTGCATTGATCTTAAGTACATCAAAGGCTCTTGAGATGAAATTTGCCCTATTTAGGAGTGGTACGACAACGGTGCGCCACCAAGCTTTTGGATCTCCGGCTTCTTCTTTACACAGGCTTTTCTTACTGGTGTGCAGCAAAACTACGCTCGAAAATATGCGATTCCTATTGACCTGCTTACTTTCGATTTTGAGGTCTTGGAAGACCAAGAATTCAGTGAACCACCCACAGATGGTTAGCTTCTAGACCAATTTGCATGGATTGAAAAATAAAACCAGTTGTTGAGTCCTATTTTTCCTAAGCAATCGTATTTTCATTTAAAACTAGTTACGTGCCATGGAGCCCCCAAAATAGGGTACTGAAGCCTAACTTCAGACGATTTTTCAATGAGTTTTTGAAAAGGAAAACAATGATTGTGTGAGTATTCACCCAACTTTTTGTCAATATTTGGTTTTCTTCCTAGGTGCCTACGTCTACGGACTCTTCCTTGACGGGGCCCGATGGGACAGAGCCAAGAAAGTAGTTGATGAGTCGCTCCCAAAAGTTTTGCAAGATCCAGTACCGACGGTAAGAAGTCGATGAAATTGTATAAATTTGTTCTACTAATTTATGATAACCGCTAATGGCAATCAACTGAAGGTCATAATTATAGCATATTTGATTGGAACCACATAACCACGATACTTTAAATACGGTTAGTCCATTCGTCCAGCAGCAGCAGCAGCATCTTTGTGGAGATCTTAAGCTACGGTGGTAAGATTGAAAGATGTTTATCGTGCTTGGATAGATACAACTGATACCGATACAGAAGACTGACCTTGTACCACGCCGCACCTACCAGACTCCGGTCTACAAAACAAGTGAGCGTCGTGGTGTCCTCTCAACCACTGGCCACTCTACCAACTTTGTGCTCGCTATGGATCTACCGACAGAGAAGGCACCTGAGCACTGGATCCTGCGCGGAGTTGCTCTGCTTTGCCAACTGGATGATTAGCCGTCCACTGCCTATCTTGATGGTGCCAGAGGCCTTCGTTTTACACTACGGAGAATTGTTGGCACATCGTTTTGTTCGGAACTTTAAGCTCTAGATTACATAACGAGTCTGCACCACCTATTTGCTCTTTCTTCCACCGTTTGTCTTAAACTGGAGGAACCTATTAGTCTGCATGTTACCAATCCCAGTCTACTGGCACTGATTTACGGTGCTGGGCCACCTCATAGATCTAATACAATGTGATATAGCACCATTAACAGGTAAAAGTGTCCATGACGTTTTCTCACCTTAAGTGGTCATGAGTGGATTGGCGTTGCCCAAATCCGAACAAAAATAATCGTTCCCTCAAGAAAAGTTCCATCTCAAAGCCGATATACGTAGCGTAATGCTCAATCAATACCAATGGGGAATAAAAGCACACTTTTTTGAAATCCGTGAGGAAGCAAATTCTCAATCTATTCGTGATGTTTGCCACAATCGTTGAAACATCTGTCCTCGAGGAATGGCAAAATACAGATGATCATCTCGGCGCGGGAGAGGGTCAATTTCTTTCGCGGAACATAACTGATTACTCTCCAAAATCATAAGTCTCTATCCAACGATGCACGCTCCACAACCTTCGTGGCCTACTTTAACTGAGTTACTCGAGAGGCATCGCCGCTTAAACAATACCAACACACCGTATGTAACTAAAAACATTCACTTGACTGCAAATATACAGAAAGGTTGTATTTTTAAGAAGAGAAAACAATAACGGACCCATTGTTGCCAAATGCGTGTGCACCGTAGGCGTTTGATTGATGGATGCGCAGGTTGAAAGACGAATTCGAACGCTGCTGGGCAGAACGAGCTACGCCAAAGTGTTGGGCAGATGTTTTTCGGCAGCGCTCTTCGATAGGAGACCATTGTAGACAATGGGACTGGTGTGCCCCTCGCTGAGGCCCTCAGGTCTCTTAGTGGGAACACCAAATATGACAGACTTCTCCGAAGCTTTTGTGCCCTCATTAAAAATGCTTTTGATTGCTTCTGCTTCATTAGTTGTGAGCTGTCGGTTACGAGGGAAGACGACATCAAAAGTAACTATGAGGTTCCCCCTCTTGGCATTGTCATCGTATTTTGGCATGCCTTCGTTCGGTACTCGCATTATTGCTCCAGGCCATATCACTTGATTTTGCTTTAGCAACACCTTGTATGGATGAGTACAGAGTTTTGGTTAGTGTTGTCATATAGAAGCCAACCTAATTGATGTAAAACGCCAACTTAAGATACTTGATGGAGCGCAAATAATTAGCTTGGATAAAGAATAATCAAAATAATGAAAGGTGTCATCCTAACCTTTCTTAGAGCCAGGCCAAAATGTTAAAATGCACAAATTTAAAGGAGTAGACAAAGAGAACGTATTCAGAGTTCAAGATGAACTAAACGCACCATAACCGATTAGCAGATTCACATTCAGTGAATAAATCACAGATTGGCATACCTTGTGTCCATCCAAATGCGTGAGCTCAAATACAAATCCCACCAACGCATCGGTAAGACCGATTGTCACATTTGTATAGAGGTCATCGCCCCGGCGATGGAATACAGGATGTCTGTGGAGGGTAAATCCGGTGTATTCAATTGTTTTAACGATTATGGATATAAGCTTATGCTGCGTTCAATTTAGTCTTATTTACATTAAGTTATGGATGAGAAGACAGATCATGAACATGATGGTCAGGTAGAAGATTCTGATCTACTCTACACCGCACTAACCAATTTAATGCTTACGATTAGATGCATTTCCGGACTATAGCTCCCAAAGACCTTCAGATGTGCGTAAAACTGTAGACTTGAGGTGTTAGGCAAAAAATAATGAGGATTGAAGAAGACACAAGTATTCGACGCGATTGAAACACCAGATAAGTTCAGTTCGATTAGAAATTTGAAATTAAGGATGCTGCTCAATTTATGGCTCACTTTCGCTGTCTAATGACAAACTTCAGGTCCCCACTGTCCCCATCGGTGTGTGGTTCACCTTCATCCGGAAAGGAATAAACATGGCCATCAGGAGCCCCAGGTTCGATCTCCACCTCAATTTGGCGATCTTCAGTGACGAACCTAAGCAAAACACCGCATTTATGCAGAGGATTCAGCATCAAAGCAACATCAACGGCCACGCATGCTAAATAAACCTACTCAAAGTCGGGACATTGGTTGCAAACCCTCTGCTGCAGCATCTGGAAGCGACCGGGACCCAAATACTGAGTCTTCATTTCCATTCTGCAATTGCACTCCCGTGTGCCCGGTTTAGATTTTTTAACAGGCCTTGAACGAACGATTTCAACAAACTCTCCATTGTAAAGTTCTTCAAGAGAAACCGGAAGGTCAACGATGATATCCGCACCACGAAGTTTGTCTTCACCGTGACGCATATCGGACCCGCCACCAAACATTGTACTGAAGATGTTAGAAAACCCAAAGTCGCCAAAATTATCGCCACCACCGTCGCCTTCGCACGCTTTGATTCCTTGACCAGAGTCGTACCGACGCCTTTTTACCGGATCGGATAAGCACTGTACAACGGAAGCATGTGACAAAAGGAGCGCATATACTAATAGGAATAACGTAAACGAACCTCGTAAGCAAACGTGATTTGTTTAAATTTTGTTTCAGTTTCTGGGTCTTTGTTTTTGTCCGGATGGTATTGCTTTGCAAGATGACGATAAGCTTTTTTTATTTGACTCTCAGTTGCTGAGCTTGAGATTTCGAGGTACTCATAGAGGTTTTGGCTGCAATGAAGCATATATATTAAACTAATACTACCTCAAAACTAGTTCAGGTAGCAAAAGCAAAACAGCTAAGGAGACAGAATCGCGCATCCCCACTCCGAAATCGGCAGCACACACAACAATGTGACCTACAGACACAAACGTGTGTTGTGCACAGACGATTGGCTGCACTAAGTTGGCCGAATCTATTTAGAATTTAGGAACTATGTTTGGAATCCAACTAACATGGACTATAAATAGATCCTCATGATGAACCAAATTATCCACACATATAGAAATGAAATCATTCGTAAGCAGCTGGCTCCCACAGATTTGCACCTCTCACAGAGAATCGGAATAAATATGCCGCAGTTATTCCGAACGTACGTTCTTACATCCACTCCAATGCAAAACTGCCATGCTCTAGTAGGTTGTGCAAATCCCACCCAGTTTCGTGACCGCTCAGACTTAGCTGGCACCATTAAACACGGGCACGTCGACAGCCTCCCAATGTTTTTTCGCAATAGTAGCACATCTATTGCCACATTGATGTAACTTTCACGACACAAAGGGAGACGACTTGAGACCACGTCAAAGTACACCAGCGCACGCTACTGACGGCAACTAAAATACGAGTGACGTCTGCAACGCCCATGTAGGTCAATAATTTCTACGCACATGATCCCACCGTGGCTATTAATCCAACGTTCTACCGAGTTCTAATTTGCTTCACATGTACGGAAGAAATCTCGACGTGTATACCACCGGCGGGTGAAATAGGGTGCCGGACGCCATCCATTCGCATTCGCCAAACTGCCATCATCGGTCAAGCAAGCAGAAGTACCCGAAGACCTAGAACATCAGAGACGCAGGGATTCGTGTGGCCAGAAGCCTGTGAATACCCACACAGACGTTATAAACGCACCAATCACCCTAACTCTATAGGTGGCAATGACTATTAAGCCACATATTTTAGCAGGAGACAGAAATTTAGGCTGGATGAAGAGTCTACAATATGTACTTCACCGCAATTCACTAAAAACTTCTCAGGAGAGTGGTTGCTGCGACTTGGAGGAGGCAATCGTGAGCGTCCGAAGCCTTGAAATGGCCCAGCTGACGTTGCGCCTCCTGAAAATGGAATTCAGCCAGCATTCGCGTCTGGCCAATGCCGTTTGACTAAAACATGGTAAGATGAGATCATTATAACCAAAAATTATGGTTGCTTATGATCAGATTTGCTTATAGACGGGTAAATAATATCGATTTAATGGTAGAAAGGTAAAGCAGTCTTATAAGACCCTAAAGCCTATTAAAGAAAACGCTAAATTTCACGGCACGTAAAGACGACGCATTGAAGCATGTAAGCAAATAATGGCAATATGCCACTGAGAACAGACAAGGCTCCAACCAGGGGATTCCCAACCTTTGGAAAGGGGGAAGTGTGTGAAGGTTAGATTGATTTTAAGTTATTCAAAGTCCAAAGGCACAAACCGTTACTCAATAGGCCTTTGAAAAGAATAGCTGATTAGATTTAAAAAACGGGTTAAATGAACATTAGATGAGGCGGTCAAGATCAGAGTTGGGTAAAGTGATTCCACATTGTTGAAGGATGTCGGTGTGTTTGCAAAAGGATCCTTCCAGCCTTTACTACAACTTAACACCAAGTAAGATCGTAGCATAAGTGAAGGCAGCACTAACCTCATGGACTAGTTCTAGGGCCCTTTTCTGATCCTCAGGTGTCTGTAAGCCAGAGTGAAGCATCCTCTCAAGCTCAGGAAACTAAAATTAAAAATTTCAGCAGTCTTGCAGAATCCATCCAGTGGTAATAGCAAAATCAATAAACTAGGGTTAAGCCTCTATGAAATCGGCATAAGATTTTTTATTTAAAAAGTAATAATAAGATTCAGCACCTTTACTATTTAATGTTCGTTCTTACTAATAATGAATGAAAACATCACGTCAACATATATGTGGACTAAGAAAGTCCTAATGGAGTAGAGACCTACAGTCTAAACAAGGATGCATATATGGTACGATTTACTGTTGCTTTTGACGACAATATAGAGGGAATGGACAATCCCCTAAGGGAGCGATTATAAACTGAGCTTACCCATGGTAATGACTGCTTACTCCGCGAACAAGCAATGACTTACACACCTGCTGTGCAGCAAAGAGTACAGGACCAGTGGCCAGTCCAAGTTGCAAATCAGAACCACCAGCTGGCTTTCCTAATTTGTCTTCCTTTCCCACAAAATCCAAAATATCATCCAACAACTGAAAAGCCATGCCTAAATTTCGACCGAAAGCATACGCAGACTCTGATAGCTCACTATCAGCCGCTGAAAGAATCGTAACCTGGAGAGAATAACGGTTATGTAATAGATAGAGCACATGCCCCATTCGCAACATGGCATGGAATAAGACGTACAGCCTTACAGCTGTTGGCAATTAAACTCGCAGTTTTCTTGTACGTCTTTTCGTGGTATAAGTGAAAGCGGTAATTTTCATCAGTACTCGAAGTTAACTGCATAAATTCTCCTGAAAATATGGTAAAGGAAGCTAGCTACCTCTTATCAAATCATCAAGAACAGTTGAAAGAACAGAAACAACTTCTGCATTCCCTACCTTCGCAAGCAACTCTGAAGCTTTCAAGAGAATTATGTCGCCTACAAGAACAGCCTAAAAAAATGTGAACGCCGCTAAACTAACATCCTTGCTTCCAAATTTTCGGTAAGTTGTCATCATCTTCCGACGCGTCTCAGCCTTATCAATGAGATCGTCATGTACAAGACTCGCCGTGTGAATCATTTCAGTAATAACAGCCACGGCGTGTTGAGCATCTGTAACCCTCCTTCCTATGCAAACCGTTCGCAATGAGATTGCACGTACTCAGATGTCTATCAAAAAACTTAACTGAAGAACTACTGTTATCTAGGTTTATAACCGAGTAGTCAGTGTGTGCATTCGCACAAGCCGCCATCAAAAGCACCAAAAGTGGACGTAGCAATTTTCCTTTACTGCTAAATGCATAATCAGCGATGGTGGTTATGCCGCAACTAGGCATCAAAAGAATCTAAGAATTAAAGAGTTAAATTCTCCCACATTTTTGACATCATCAGGTATTCTTTTGACGTCAGATCTAGCAATCAATTCCACATCCCTAGCAGCCCCAGTGCATTGCTTAGCTGCAGACACACTAGCACGAGAGAACTTAGTTCTCGCCCGTTCTTTAACAACTGTAGGCCTTAAACTGGTTAGTTGGTTTGAAAGATCAAAGGTAGATCTGAGAGTTCGCCTCGTCAACATGGACACGGACGCATGCACACCACACCATGAAAGTGACCTAGACAAACTCGGCCTTCTCTTTAAAGGTAGCAGTAAAAAAGTAGTATAAACAAAATTCCCATATATAGATTAACAATTGAACGACTAGAATTCTCTGTGCCGTTAAAGTACAAGACAAGACAAACTCAGTACAAAGCATCCCAAGACTTCCCATCACGTACAAGGCGTTAAGTTGGGCTAACAATATGCATTCTAAGGGGATGGGAAGGAGTGGGACTTAATATGGCCCGAATACCAGCCCATGAGTACGAAGACATAGCCCGATCCGTAATTAACACCCAGACCTTTAGTAGCCATATAAACAAGGCGTTAGATTGCTCCTCCCATCTTTGGAACGGCTTCTTTGTAGCTCCTATTAGTACACCTCCCGCGCTAGTCATCACATCATATCTGGTGTCACAAGAATACATTCATGACCCATCCGCGTCCCGTCAGCCACCAAGAGACTTGCGCTGGATCTCAGTAACCATTATGCATCTTTCATCGATTATCATTGTAACCTCCTAAGTCTTCCTACCAGGTTCCAGAATGCACAATACCTGGCTGAGCAAGTATGCATTGACAAGAAGAACGTAAAACATTTGGCATAGCCTAAAGATTATCGTTTTCTGGGGAAAAATGACCAAACAAGGGAAGTTTGTGTTATGGTGTATTTGACTTTCCAAAATGTGTTGCTTTCTAATGAATATTCCACTTGACAGCCTAAGGCACACGTTACAAATCAAACTTGAAAATATTTCGGCTTTCAAACCCTTAGTATCATCTTTCTGTCGGTACTGTTTTTCAAATGGTAGTTTACCTATTTGAACCATTGCTGTATGCTGATTGGTCAAGTCTTTCATATTATTCGTCCAAATTCGCCTACATAAAGAACTCTAGCTTGTGCGCTTGTTCCATGCATCCCGCTTAATGTCGCAGTTCGGTCTGTTTTATGAAGGTGTTCGTTGGGACATTCCTAGTGAAGGTGGAGCAGCATGCCTTTCTTATCTATCAAAGACTCGGCGCTTGCTTGAGACTCTATTTTTTACATTTGTTTACGGGATTTCGCTTTTGTGGTGTATTCCAAGACTCAAGCTTCCCGTTGATGAAAGGTATACTCCACGTAAACGCATAGCATGGATAGCAATGGTTCATTGCTTGGTGTTTGGCATGGAAGTCGGCTACAAACTCACAGCTCGTTCACTAATCTTCATTTTTAATCCGTGCCATGCAATAACAGCTGTTCAGGTAGGAACGTGTTCAATATTTCTGTCATTATACTTCTAAAATTGGCATTGACTTAGCATTCAAACTGTGCTATAGTGTTATTCGGGCTTAATTACTATCAAACTTACCAGTGCTCAGTGTTAGCTGTCGACTCGACCTAAGTCTCTGAATTAGATCACATACACTTCATCTACACTATTTGTAAGTGATCTCTGAACTCCAGGCCTCCATTGGCTTTATTTATTTCAATTAGATATGGCTTTTGTGTGCAAAGCCGAGCTCATTCGTTACTGCCGTTTTTCGTTTGCACCTTCATGGTATCAACGGGACGCTGCTTGCTCTTTTACTTCCGACAACTGGCACAAGAACGGTATGTTTAACTGCTAATCGTGTATTTGCGTTTGCTTTGAAGTCAACATTTACTGAATTGTGTTGGTGTTTTACGTTGCTGCAATCAAAGGCCACTCCTGAGTGTTTCAGAGTTGTAGTTTTTGTCACTGTCATTTATTGGCCCTTGTGAATAAAATTGTGGGATTTCAACCGATCCTATTAGTGCATTTGGTGGCTAGGGTATCCAGGAGTGGCAGCTACCTGTAGTCAATCAAGTCCAAGTTCATAGTATTCCTGTATACTTAAAAGGGGACAATTCTTAGGGATTTGGCATCTGGTTTTATGAATTTAATGGCACAGGTCAATTATGGCAGTGTCAATGACATCTCCACTACGGTGTCTGGAAGTGTTGAGTTTCCTACTTCCGAAGTTTTTATTGCTATTTTTTATTGTTGGTGTCTACCTCATTTGTAATTAGCCATTCTAAAGACGCACACCCACTCATATTATCACGCTCAAAGCTTATCCTATCGTGAATATCTGTTTGAGTATTCATGTAGTTTTGGTGAAAATCAATTTTTTTTATTATTGGCTCGCGATCGTATCAACTGATTCTCTTTACTTCCGGATTGTTTTAGCCTTCTCCTTCTACCTAGTGTCCAACATTAGGGACATGATTGTTAAAGCTATCAGAATCGCTATCTTTGGTTCGAATAGCATTTTTTTGCTTTTAGTGGCCTCGATTGAATTGCAAATCATCAATGCATAGTCACTATCGTTTAAAGGACGCCTAAAAGTCAGCATACTTATTAGTCCAGAAAATCAGAAATCATCCTTTTCTTCCTTCAGCACGTTGCTTGCAAGTTCGAATTGATGATAGCAGGAAATAATCGAGTATTTTAAAATTTAGTAAATTTATGGCTGCATTACTTCTAGTGGTTATCGTTGAAGAGAATAGCCTGGAACGAAAAAGATGAAATCACAACTCAAAGTAGCCATCTGACGCAAATCACGTTCCCTTGGAAATCGCTCTTTTGACCCGTGTTTGTTCAAATAGAATGTAAGTATACTGAAGAAGTATTGCCCGGTCCTACTTCACGGCTGGCCTTAAAAATGCACCAAAATATCCTCTATGAGGTAACTTTAATTTGAAGCAGTACAGGAGCAGTCAGGCAGCACTTATTCCCCTTGCTTTCAAGATCTTTTCTCTTACGTTTTGTTAAACGTCCTCTTAGCTTTCCAACAACGTAAAATTTAGGCACAGCCATTGAATTTTGCATTTTTACATTAAAGGAGCGCATTTCTCAAGTTGAGATTGACATTTTACGTTTTTAATCATAAATCCCAAAATGTGTTCATTTTCGTTCTGACCTTAGTCACTTCAAACGAATTGGTGTTTTGCAGTCCTTTGCCTTCTGCAAATGCGCAATTTTATGAGTTCTTTTAAGGTTGCTTCGATTTTTTGAGAGCACTGAACAGTTTAACGAAGAGTCAATATATTAGTGTTCTCTAACGTTTTCTGCCATCTGTAATCTCGTTTTAATTAGGTGTCAATTTAGGTATTATATCTTGTGAGACAACGTGACATCGTTGCGTCTGTGTCCAAGCCAAACACTGTCCATTAACGTTTTTACTTTGCGCAACTGGCTTACACTTATAAACTTTGGAATATTCATCTTTCGTGTCTCATTCATCGCTATTCTCAGTAGAGGCATGTAAATAAACTTACTGATTGATCGTTTGTGCAATTATTGGAAAACTTTAGTTTTTCTAGAATGCTTGCCTTTTTGCAGACACGTTCTGGTTCTTTTTCCCCAAAAAAGACCTTGACTGACATATTTTCTCAAAATTTTAAATCTGAATAGTGAAATTTCATAATCTACCTTGTCTCGGAGAATTGTCGTCGTTCTCATTACCCGGGAAACAATTGCGCTATGCAGCGTCACTTATTTGGTGGTTGAAAATCAAGTTTGCACTACTTCGAATTTCGTTAACTTTCCGATTGAAGTAAATGGTTCACCAATTAGAGACTGTCGGCGATTCGGAAGAACTGCAGCTTTACGGTGAGGCGGATTGACGTGACCTTGAATGTTATTTTCAGCCCGCTCTTCGGATCATCTACTTCGTTCAGCACATTCTCATTCTCTTTGTTCCGGCTTGCATTTTGGATCAAAAATGTGAGTTGTTAAGACTGTTTTATTTCTTGTGATGCAAAAGTTCTTACGCGCCAAAAATCTCAAAGTTTAATAGTGCATTTGATTTAGTTTTCATAATCACTGCCAAGCTTGTAGTTCCCCTCAACATTTTACCACTGAACGTGGCGAGTGCCCTAGAATTTGAAGAATATTTTCGTATTATCTAGAGGTAATCTAATGATTTCCATCTGCAATTAATGCATGAAGTGGGAGCCATCAGCAAGTACACCTTTTACACTCATATTGCATGCTGCAATATCAGATTTAAGTGTTTTACTTTTTTTCGTCAACTTTAATCAAAAGCTGATTTTGTATGGTTTTAGCAGACGATTGCCATATGTAGACGAGCTAGATCCATCGGGTTCGAACGAGGCATGATGCGGGCCGTTATAGATGTACTAGAGTAACTTCGTCATGGGCAGTCTGGGCGGGACTATTGCGCAAAGGGCCTTCACGATCGCTTCCTACATTCCTTAACAGTGGATTCAGAGGTTTTTTTGCATTTGCAAATGAGTGCAAATGTAGGTCAAACAACGTGCTTTGCTGCTACATTTTAAAAGCCGAAGCCAGCGAAATTTTCAATGGCTGCGTGCACAGGCACTGTGGTGCATCTTTGGTTGTCCATTCTTCTAGCAATTGTCAAGGTGTATTTCCTCTCGAGTCTAACATTTTCAAAAGCTAACAAATGCCTTAGGTACGCATTAATGCGTTGCTGCCCTTCAGTGCGATTTTGCTTTCCTTTTTAGTAGTTCATTGATGTTGGGGTTCAGCAACCCTCTCACTGGTTCTGCTTTCTAGTAGTTTTCGGGGTTGATTTAAGCAATGATGCTGCTTTAAGTTTTCAAAACCAGCTACGAATTACATTGAGCTTTTAGTACCTGTTTTAAACCATTTCACCTTACGCCTACCCTCTTACCTTTATGTTTATCTCAACCTCGCTCATGGTCTGTTTGACACTGTGCGCTTACACTACCTTGGGAGTTCTACTATTTGCTTCATTGATGACAAATCCCATGGTTTGGAGCTCTAGACTCTCCAGATATTCATGTCAAACCATAGTGAAGTTTCTCAAACAGTTCAATAAAACAAGTCCAGTGTCATGGCTTTGGAAGGGGACTTCTTGGAGTGCTTTCTCCTTTAATACTATGACAACTGTAGGGTAACTTACATTTGAACCACTTAAAGGTGTGAACAATTTGTTGTTGAGGTGATGGTGATATCCTCTTTAAAATGACTTCATTTGATAAACTTATCATGTTTCTACGGTTTATGTTTTTGTTTGTACCCTTCATCCATTTCTTCCTCATCACTTAAGGCGTCTGTGATGCTTTTAATTCCTTGCATTTCCTATAGCTTATCGTAGTGTTGAGTGTGTCATTATTTTTCCTCAATTTAATTTTCTCAATGTATGCTCTCTTCGAAATTTATAGTTTATAATTTGTTACATTTCACTGTCAAACGTTAATCGGATCTAAGGTCTACAATTGTCAATCTAACATTCTTTGACAGTGGCTTCGTAACTACTCATGACTTACCCTACGGTGGAATTTCGTCTCACCTCGGTGCACTTTCCATTTATTCAATCTCTGCTCAAGTTAACCAATTTTCTAAACTGTTAGCTTTTTCTTGCTTAGTCTTATTCAGTTGGACACCTTTTTTGCTCATTTAGCCGTCTATTCAATTGAGCCTTTGGGTGATTTTAATTGGGTTTTAACGTCCTTGGCGATACAAACGCTCTACCACTTTCTTTTCCTCCAACCGCTTGGAATGGTATGTTTGAAATTATTATTTTACTTAAACTCTTTTGAGTAGGATGCTTCGAGATCCATCTTCCTTTTTAGCTAACCCATGCTAACCTGAACCAGATGCTCTGTCCATCTCCCTCTGACCCGTTTGCTGGACCTCACTATCGTATAGCCGCAATGATTCACCAACCACTGTTGATACTTCTGTCGGGAAAGCTTTACTCTATCATTGTCTTGTGGCTACAACAATCCATCAAGTCTCCGAACTTCCTCAAGCCTCTCTGCTCCTCCTTTCATTGGCTTCCTGGTCTTACCATCATCTCAAGGAATCCCACTAAAGCTGTCGCCGACCAAATTGTTTGTGAAAAGACAGTAGAACGGAGACCGCGCTCCTTGGAGGAACTTTTCCAAACTCAAAGTAGTTGCACTACTTCGGAGTAGTGTAAAGTCTCCCCGTTAATATGTTTTAACGAAAAAGGGTTTCGAATGTTTTAAAACTCTCTTTGTTGAGTCACAGTTTGATCTCAATAATAGCACCATTGAAAGCGCCACAGGTGCAGCATAACATTCCTATTTGCTCTTCTCTTGATTAAAACAGGTCAACATTTTTGACTTCCTGTTGTGTTTCCACTATTTTGTGAAAGAAATAAAACTTTTCTGTAAACCTTTGTCTTTTTTGCTCTTTACATGCTTATTTTTTATGGTTCAAAATCGTTTTCTACGTCGGTATGTACTTAGTTCCATATGCGTACGCCATCCAATGCATCTTTATTTGAGATTTGGTTCCTTAAGTTGGTGCTTTGATTTGTGGGCTTATTATATGTTCTAGCCATCTTTTATTTGTTCTCACTACTCTCCAACTATGTTTTCACCAAGCTTTAACAGCCTTAAATTCTTCCTAGAATCGCCATCATTCCTTTTTCGTCTTTTCTTTCCTCGATTTCAAGTTTGGTAGGAACAGTGGGTCAATCTATAGTTTAATCATCGTTGTCTATTAGCTTTTAGCCTTTCGTTCTTATTAATGAAGGTTGGGGTTTTTCCAAAGTCAAACAATACAAGTTCTATTATTTGTTATGTGTTTTTTTATCAAAGAGAGGATAGTAATTCGTTTATGAGATGTTGTTGTCACTCTTCCTGCCTCGCGTGGAGTAAATCTTTCAGGAACGCTGCATTATGCGATAATGCCAATTCCTCAAAAACTCATTAAAGCGCTGTATGTGGTAGACATCATTCTCCATATCCCGTATTTTACAAGATAGGTGAGGGTATATGATGACTAGTGGGAATCGGTCGATGGACAACTCATAATATATTAGTGAGTAACATCTATACGAACTCATTTTGTTGACAGGAGCCTCTGCAGGTACGCTTACTGCCACTACTTTCAACTCAGCCTTCTAGACATCGCCACCTCCAATAAGACTGTTTGATCTATCACCTTGAAGGGCAGTGTGAAATGTTTCCCATAGAATGAGTAGCTCTTCGTGAGGAGGAACCACATTAAAATGTTGGTGCCTTGTGTTTTCAGGATAAAAAATGCCACCAGCCGTGACAACTGGAGATCAATTTAAATTGTCAAATCTGCCGACGGATACCGTGAGTGCAGTACACTTCCAGCCAGGAAAGGGAGCCCAGTTCCTTTTGGCGTCCAGCTGGGACTGCATGGTACACCTCTACGACGTCACTTCAGGTGGTCGGCGCTCCTCCTATGAGCATGCCTGTCCAGTGCTCGCTAGCTGTTTCGCTGACGCCCTGCACGCCATCTCAGGCTCCCTTGAGGGTGCCGTCAAGTACTTCGACCTCAACACATCCCAAGGCACGTTTTAACTCGGATTGGGTTACATTACAACCATCTTGACTGCTTGCTGATTGCAAAGTGGAATATCCCAGGGTCAAAATATTCGTATCCCTAGTAAAGTCAATCCACAGGCTTCTTGCTTTTATTAGAGGCGTATAGGTGCTTTCACTGGTGGTTTTTTATTCAATTACTTTTGTAGTCGCAAGAAACACGTGGACAGACCATATTCTATCTTCTTTATATACAAATACAGTTGGTACTTTAATCCGATTCATTTCTTTTGGAATGGCCTACAGACAACCTTTAATGCCAACCAAACGGTCGAGTTTGAATAGTGTACAACAAATTACATTAGCTCCTCTGAAGTTAACTCCTTTTGATATCATATTAAATAGCCCAGGGTATCTTTGTTTGTACTGTCTTCCATAAATGGCATCTGCAAGCTGTTTTATGATGCAAAGGAATTATGTATTCAATAATTTGAATTTCTAGTAGGCTTCGCTCTTTGCACTTATCCTAAACCACTTTATTATGTCCATAGTATGGTATTGTTCTGGCTTCTCCCAAGACAATTTTTATGGTCATCTTACTTAGGTGCTTGCACTTATGGGAAATTAGGCTTTTAAATAGTGCCAAAATCCGAATTCAGTTGTAGAATCTTTCTTTTACAATAGATTCAGAGTTTATTTTGTCGCACCAATGAATTAGTGCAGGATTTTTTCATCCCACTTTTTCTATTTTCTTTTGGCGCAAATCCTATGTAAATACTAAGTGAGCAGCATTGTTTACTTTGTCTGGCGAAAATATTTTATGCCATTGAATTATTGTCCTTAATTCTGGAAGAGCTAAAACGGCAGGACTGGATAGAATGGGCTTGCTGTAAAAGATTATGTTGATGGCGAGGTTTTATAATTCTCTTAGACTTCTGTTGCATTAAATGTTCATCTTCAAGGATCGTTAAAAGCAAATCAGCATTGGTTCAGACCTTTTGTTATCAAAAAAGAACAGAAACAGGTTGCAGTTTACTCCAGTCTTGTTTATAATGCTTCCCGAACCGTTGGGTTCTAAACTACCATTGGACGCTTAAATAGGTGAGCACTAGCTGTACAATTTGTCATCCCACTAGCCTGCTTGAGAAGGTTTTAGTAAAACTCTTCCTCTCTATCCATCTTAAGCTTACTCCTTCATGTGCGTTTTTAGTTACCAGCTTAGGTAAATGCAATCGCGCCGTTAGCGTGGCGCTCTACAGTCAGGCGATCGGTGCGCCGTTAACGGGAAGTTGGGACAAAACGGTGCGCGTATGGGATCCCCGAGCCTCCAACGCGACCTCCACTGGTGACGCATCTGCAGGTGGCGCGGTCTCTGTGCACCAACAGCCCGACAGTGTCTTCACCATGGACGCCGTCAATACCACTCTTGTCGTGGGTACCGCCGGTCGCCACGTCCTCCTCTGGGACCTGCGCAACATGGCCCAGCCCATTGAACAGCAAGAGTCCACCTTGCGGTATCAGACTCGCATCATTCGTTGCTTTCCTAACGGTCAGGGTTTCGTCATGGGCTCTATTGAAGGTGTGTTTTACTACTGATTACCGGGATTTGGTCCTTCTTTTTTGGGCTGGTTACCATAGTTTCGCCGCAAAGTTGTTTTTTTGTTGGCGTAGTATGAGTATCATGATTATTTCTGTTTTATCCCGGATTTACCGCTCGTATTAAGAGGTATACGGCAAAAATGTTGCACAATTTTGGCTGTGTGTAGTACGATTCCTTGTGTAGTTGTGGTGCACTTAGTCTCATCAGCGATATCGTTTCCACCTATGGATATGGATTCATGGTGTTTAGGTAAAAAACTTGGTGACTATCACCAGGTACCATCCAAGGAACTAATACATTTCCCCGTCGGCAAATGGAAGCAAGCGATTAGATAGCAGGTACAACGCAAAAGCGGCAGCTTGGAAAGGTAGTCTGGGAATTTCCACCCGTGCCAACCACTCACGGGGTGTGTCGTGTTTAAAGAACCTCCACAATTCCTAGTGTAACACTTCGCTAAACACTGCGTACCACCCTGATGTTACCCACTCTCACGTGTCGGACATTCCTGGCATGCGGTAATGTGCGTATGTCAGCCTGCTTGCTTGCGCTTTTACACTGCCCGGACAATCCAGCGCCCACCGCACTGGCATGACTGTGCGGGCCTATTTTTGGCATTCACATCGGTCGGGATGAACCCCGCATTACGCCGTATAGTATCGCACAGGCCACACCTACGCACAAACTTCCGTTTCTCCCCAGTTTTGCGAATAGGTCTTGGCTACCCTTCTGCAACTTCCGCATTCACCTTCGCTCAGGTACTCCTGTTACTTTGTGCCGGCAGTTTTTGTAGTCCACCGGTCAGAGTGGCGCACACAATCGTCTCCATACTTATCGTGAAACTAAACCGTTACAACGCGTCTCAGTAGCATTATTCTCCTCTTTCACTACTCATTACTATTTGCTCCTTGTAAAACGAATATTACCTGCAGTTGTTTTTTTTTCATTAACTAGAGTCCACCTTCTTTTTGACATTTAACTTTTCCAAATTCTTCTAATTCCATGCATATCCATGGGCATCCCGATTACTAACCCTTTGAGGTAAACCATCTAGGTGATCGGTCTTTCGCTTTTTTCCTGCAACAAGCCTCAGCTCAGATTAGCTGCATTTATCTTTAGAACTGCAGAACGCGACCTCTGAATATATCTATCTACTAGATATTTTTTTGAACTTTATTAATTCATCTTTTTCTTTGCCATTATGTGGAACTTCATTTTTCGTTTATTAATCGCCATTGTCTACTTTTCCTACGGTCTTGGGGTAAAGCAATTTTGTCCTAGGTGGAATAGGTGTTTCGAACTTTCGCTTTGCGTTTATTAGAGATCGCAAAGGTCACTTATGATAGATGAACTTCAACCACATTTCTCAATTGCTTTACTTCATTTCTAATACCTCTCCTGTTATGTAGCAGACGAAACAACAGGGGAACACTTGACTTCGCTCAAGAAATTCATACATGAAGCGGCCCTTCCTAGTACTAGGTTTTGTGAACAATTGTTGTTATAATTGGTTGTCTCCAACAGGGCAAGTTTAGCCCTTGGAACTTTTTTCCAACACACGCGGCACAATTTCTCTGGCAACATTGACATTTTGCAAAGTGGACGGCCAATCTGAAAGACATCACAGATTAAATATTCATACCCCTGCCCGTGGGAAAGCCTGCATTCTTAATGTTCTGCCTAAGTTCTCTTTGCAACTGAGCATTGGATGGGTGCTTTATGCGTGATATAAGTCAGAATTACGATGTTTGTCCTCATTTTTCCGACAGGAGAAAGTTTTTTCGATTATCGTGCACACCTTCTACTTGCTCAATCCCATCTGCTAAATCTGAAAATTTGTGCCACTACTCGACTCGCTGTTTGACCCATTTGTGCTGTTAACACTATCAGTTTCTTATTGCTTTCGAATGCAGCCACCTGAGAATCACAAAAATCTTCTTGATTGTGGAGGTCCAAATGCGAAATTTAACTTTTTAACTTCATATATTCTTAAATGTAGTTTTGGTGCGCGAAAGCAAGTAGGCGTCGGTGAAGCGCATAGAAAGACCTCTAGGGCTCCTTTGAGAATGCACGGACTCAACATACTCCCCATCGTAAACTCTCGGCTTACCTCCTGTGTTTGCTTTGTTCTGACAAGTCATGTTCGCACGAATTCCTTTTTCGCTCAGCTTTGTTTATGTGTTATCATGCTGTCAATCACTAGCACTTGATACAGAACAGAAAGTTATGCGGTCGTGTCCTTTTTACTTGGAGTTTGTAAAGTAGGTGGTACGTGGCTGTACCGGTAGTTACACCTTGATGTGTTAATTTACGTACGTAGCCCACTCACTCCATCAATCGAAGCTGTGAAGGTCTTGGACCAGGAAACGATGACCCTTGAAATCGGTGGTTATCGCCTTGGCTAAAAATAATTTGTGCAGCTAAAACTAATTTGTGCAAACTCCTGAGGCTAACTAGTAGAACTTATTAAAAATATTTGCCGATATGCTGAAACTTCGCTGCTTCGGAAATTTTCTTTGTGCACCAAAGTATGCTCTGAGGTGAGAATGAATGAATGCCGCTTTCATTTATGCATTTTTGGAGGGCTGAAAACAGCGGTGTCATTTGGAAATCCTACAGATCTTGCTGATGTCTACGACTCGATCGTGTTCTTCGGGGCGGTTTAGAGGCAAAATAAAATCACTTCTTTATACACTCGATTCGCTAAAACTCCTGACTGGGGTGCTACCGGAACATTGCAACTTGGAAAAAACCACCTTGTTGTGCCCACGAGTACAAATCGCTGTTTACTAATGATTTATGCCAACTTTCCGAACTTCCATTTTCGTTGTCTGTGTTAATCCACTTTTTAATGTCTTTCTTTTTACCTAAACACCAGAAGGAACTTTGGATGGTACTGGTTTGAAGAACAGCTCTTGCATGCTTAATTACCAGTATTTAACCGTACGAAGTATTGGAGGTTGTTTTCAATGACGTCATTTTGATACTCAAGTTAAAGGTACCAGATTTATAGTTGACCCGTCTTGACTGTTTTTGGGTGTTGTTTATTTTAGGACGGGTTGCTGTGCGTATGTTTGACAAGAGTCAAGAATCTCAGAAGAAATCGTATGTCTTCAAATGCCACCGCAAGAAAGAGGAGAACCGAGAAGTGATATATCCCGTAACGGCAATTTCATTTCACCAGCGCTACAATACGTTCGCAACGGGTAAGTGGACTACCGAAACCTGTCGAAATAATTATGGCATGCCTTTTTGCCTTTTCTATTTCGTCCTTGGAGGAAGCAATTCATTTTGCTTAAACTGCCACACGGAGTAATTTTGCGGCAGAATGCAATCATTTCGTGCTGCCGACCTTTCGGATTGCGTGCATGTATATGCTGAGCATCACGCTATTTTACCAGTGTTTGGGAGCAGATCTAATAACCACTTTTATTTCGAAGCGGTCGAGATTGAACTGCCTTTCTCAGCCATAAATTGATCCCTTCATGTGGAGGTGCCGTGTCTTATTAACTGCGGCAGGAGGTATCCTAAATCGGAGCTAACCTACTTTTCTCTAATCAACTTATGAACTACATCGGAACTGCTAGTCCGCTTGTCGCCCTGTTATTGCCTGAGTGCTCGCTATCAAATAAAAGTAGAGTTATTCCGTCAGTGAAGGCCTATTTTTGACAATAGGCGTGCTATATTTGCTCTTGATTAGACTGTGCGAGTGAACTTTGGAACTATTTTTTTACACAACAGGGGGATCGGATGGTATGGTGAACACATGGGATGGATTCAACCGAAAGTGGTTGGCTCAGTTCGAAAAATATCCCACAACGATAAGCAGTTTGGATTTCTGCGAAGATGGTACGCAGTTGGCGATTGGAGTATCCTACCTCTACGAGAATGGAGAAATTCCCAACGCACCTCCACCAGCTATCTACATTCGCTCAGTTTCCGACTCAGAGGTGCGACGCAAAAACATGGCACCAGCTAACGCAGCCTCCGGCGGTGCTACTATCTCAGCTCCCCCAACTGTTCCCCCAACTCGTTACTAATTCACGGGGAACACAAAACCAAGGTTCATTTCATCGAATTGCGAATATTGTCGCTTTGCTGTTTTAATATGAGTGGATGGAGATTGTGTATGTGGACACTTAATAAATACCCTTTTATACTATCGTTCAAGTTTCTTTTTTACTTTGTTATTCCTAGATATTGTACGCATGGAAAGTGTTTAAATCTCTGAGTCGCTGCAAAGCATGTATTTGTAGTTGATTAGTATTGGCGATTGGTTTCAAATTTTGTTTTAATTACCGATTGCACTGTTGGTGGAAAGTGTTTTTCCTCTGCCTTCTGTGAATTTTTAGCACTGCATTGTAGGTAGTTAGGTTCTTACATCGTGTTAGTGCCTGACTGCGTCAATTTTCGAATTAAATGCTCAAGTAGTGTGAGTTCATTGACTTTTTGCAAAGCATTTCTTTTTTGGACTCTTCTAAATTTTGATCACCTGGGTTCAAGCATTGATAGCCTATCTGGGAGGCATTCTTTTAACCAGGTACAGGCATGCATGCTCATATCCGCTGATCAACCACTTTGGTCCGATACGGTTCAGGTCCGCAAATCTGTTTTGTTAGTTGCCGAGTTATCGACCTTGCCAATGGTGTCTGCGCAATGTGTATTTTTAATTAAACCTAACTGATAGAATGAAATACTGTTGATATTTGTGGGGAGACATTTAAAGAATTTCCCTGTTTTTCAAATGGAGTTTGGATTCTTAATTAGAAATGAATTCGCCGCTGGTTTGAACTGTAAGCAAAAGAAAACAATTGCACTCGATCCAAGGAATCGGAATTTTTGTTGTGAGTTGAGGGAAACCGCTTCAACTCACACTAAGTATGTGCGGTTGGTTATGATCGCGTTGTCTGTCGCCTCGTCTTATAGCATTGCCATAGCTATCAGAATTTCCTCCACTTTGGCCACTCGTTGTTGTTGGCAGACAATGCCATAAACCATTGACTGGTTAAGCAACTAGGATAAACACTGACACATTTCTGCCGCGTCAACCAACCCTGTGTAAGGGTTTTGAGGAACTTTATTTGGTAAGAGCTTTGACCACGTTAAATCTGTTTTCCTCCGCTAACTTCGACCAGAGTCGAGCGATCGACTTCATTATAACTAAATAGTCTGCAGTGGTATTGACACTTCAGGTTAACACGCAAATCCATCCCCTCAGACAGTGCAGAAACAATAAGTTAAGTCGTGGATGCAACTGTTTGTGGGCAGACTTTGGATGAGTCACTGCAGTGGTTATTTTATCCATAAATCCAATCCAAATGTGTCTAGTTTACTTTTGAAAGCCTTTGTTATCGAAGGCGTCTCGCCTTCTGGCCAAAGCACTTGTGTACGATAGCCCTCGGAGTTCTGCCTACCCTGACAGGGATGATTCACTTCGGTTTGGTATCATCGCATCCATTCCCATAAGTCAATTTGTTCTCTGTTTTGACTTGTTGACCGCTGGAATCGTCTACTTTTGAAGACGTTAAAAATCCTTTAATCCACGCCTATAGGTGTTTTGAAGTGCACGGGTTGTGCGCAAGTGAGCTGGGTCGTGAAGCATAGCCAATGAATTGACGATCATTTTAGGACATTTCTGTAAAATCATCAGAAGAGACTTTCGAGTGGCATCATTATGCTGTCAAGAAGATAAGTCAAAATTCTCATGTCTTGGTCTTTACACTTACTACACTCAGTGAACATGATATGCAGTCGTAGCTCTCTGTTCCTATGCTACAACTCATCATCATGGTCGGTGCATATTAAGTCTGCTGAACATCTGCCACCGTGCTCAATTCCCCAAACATCGATGGGTGAAATATTCAAGCTGAATTTTACCTTGTTTTTAGCCAACGCAAGGGTGGGCTACTCCCCCCCCCCCCACGATTTCACCAAATTTTCTAAATGCACAGTACTTTCCTGCCTCAATGCTTTCCCACTTTTCAATCACATTGCTGCTATTAATGCTTGTCAACATCCTCCAAGGAAATGCTCTGGGCGGACATTTATCTCATGAATGGCTTATCTTCGGATCGGAAAACTCCTCCCCATGTATACAGGCAGCGAGTTTCGGTTCCGTTCGTTTTCTCTTGGTCTATCGGATCAGGTTTACGTTGTCACCTTTTTGAATCGCTAAATGGTCTCTTGATGCATTCTCAAAGCATACCTCAACTTCAAGCCATCCCTTAGCTGGAATGGCGTGGGTTTTTCATGCGATGTTAGGTGTAATCATGATAGATTGAGTACAGACGGTTCGGTTTCTTTGGAGCATTTTATTCCATCTAGAGACGACAGTGAACTTGAAGGATGCGCTTTCTGATCTCCGTCTGCCTCCTAGCGATTCAGCGGTTTCTCAAGCACGGTAGTTGATTTGTCGTCCCTCCTACATCCATAAAATAACATTTGAAGAACCATAAGAATTGCAAAGAAGCTTTTAATTTTAATTCTGTTCTTCAAATTACCAATTTAATAATTAATGGCAGCTTTTGTAATTTAAGGAGCAGTGACAATTTTTGTCGTCTAACTCCCTTTCATAAGTCTCCTACCTGCCCAAATCATCTTTACGGCTTAAATTTTTTTTTGCATTTTGCCTTTAACCTACTTGGCCGAATCTTTGTCTTGTGTTTAATTGCAAATGTCAGTTTAATTTTGTTGTTTCCCCGTTATTTTTAACTGCTGTAGGGAATTTGACATCCCACATGGCTCATTTCGCCGCTAATTTGACAAATTCGAAAGTCCAGCTGCCTCCACATCTTCCCTACAAAGCCACAAATGCTGCTTGATGCAGTGTTTTCGGTCAAGACACTACCTAGCACATCATTTATGCTACTTTTTGTGTCAATTTATCAAACTGCACTGTCGAGCGATTCAGCATTCACCCCGTTGACCATTGTCCTCTTGTCTGCATTTTCCTTTTAAAAAGTTAGCGCTGGCACGAAGTACCTCCATTTTCACGGCAAGTACACGAGGTTTTACGACTGGTTGCAGCGGTTTAAGTGTTTGTGACTGATGCATGCAAGACGTACTGCCTGACTTCCCAGTCGAATGGATTTGCAAGGGGATTTGAGCTTTTAGGAGCACTAATTGCACGAAACAAGCGGATGATGGTGCGTGTCAAACTCTGACAGGACACTGGGAGTGCTTTTTATGTCAGCAGATTGCACTGATAAAAGCCTACTCATTCAATTTGTCCTCGTTGGGGCTATACACTATTACCACTAAAGTGGAGTTGTTTATTTGATAAATGAAAAGTTTCACTGTATAATTCGCAATATGCTTACGGCAAAAAAAGTACAACTTTGCCATTATTTCGCGCAAATAAATGTCTAACGTTTAATTTGAAGTAATGGAGATGACATTGGTTGCATACATCGGAACAAAAGGCAGCGTGCCAATGCACAAACACATTGGTTGCCCGTGTCTTGAGAAAGTTGCATTAGCGCAATACTTGAGCACTTTAACTTCTACTTGTAGAATGCCTGCAACCACTGACGGCCACGACAGACGGGTTAAATCGGCGTCTGATCGCCTTCTTTGTGGGACTCCTTGTCACGAAATAGATTTGTTCCTCGATTTTTAGAAGCCGTGCTGTAATAAGATCTTGCTCTTAGCCCTCTTGCCTACTTGTAGGATGCTAGTAATTTATTGTTTATTCGACCTCCATTTGGATAACTTTAAGTCGGTCCATCTATTCAAAAGGAGGCAGCATCAAGTTTGAGGCATTGTTGAAAAGAGAGTCACGACCCTGTCGAGGGTGAGTTTATGATTCACTTTATAGAAAAACCTCGTCAACTGCCCCAAGTTTGATCGAATTTTCGCTAAAGCGTCACTTTTTTGAGAACTCCATTCTTCGGCTCTCAACTTTGCCGACGTATCACCCAGAAGATTTGTTCGACCACTCCACCCTCGGACGGCACCGTGCATCGACGAATTATGCTCCCTCACATCTGCAACCCAAGTTTCTACCAAGAGAACAGAATTTACCGACTAGACGAACGCGAATGTTGCCGAACATTTTTCACACTTTAAAATATTGCATATTAAGGACGCATAATTCTCGGCCCCAATCGAGCACGTACACAGCAACAGCGATGCTGTCGGAGTAGCACATCGAAGGAATTACACATAATAGAATGCAAACTTGCGCCATGTTTCATAGAACTTGCCGCCCTTTGGATCGCGTAGGGCTATGCACATTTGAAGTGAAGCATATGAGGTGATCCGATCTCAGCAGAATTAGCAGAGGAAAGCACGACTTTCCAGCATGTAGCCATTTCGTAGGAAAGTGAAGGTGCTTGCTCGAATTAATTGGAAATATCCTCCTTATGAGACGGTGCTTGTGGACCATAACAGTCCAGACGGCCTTGCGTTTAGGGTTAATTGTCTTTAAGCTCTCTTGGCCATTTTAGTAATTGACTGGCTGGTTGTGTTTTTATCTTTAAGAGCTAAAAGAAGCAGAATTCATAACACCGTCAGAGAGGTAACATTTTCATGTATTTAGTGAACACGTAAGAGATAGTCTTTTAACTGGTAATCTTCAGTGGTCCATGCGACCGAGCATGAAGCGACGCAGTGGCGCCTGCCAAAGACGGACAGAGTTGATTGAAGTCGGTCTCGTCGTCCTTTTTCTCCACACAATGTAAAATATCTAAATTGTCGCAGGTTCGGTACAACAGCAGACAAGAGCATTCAACTAGGGCACAGGATCCTAATTAAACCAAAGTATGGTCAACACACTGCATCGAATCGTTTTGATTGATGAATACGAGGGTGACGGTGCTCTGGTCCTGCAACACGATTCCCTTTTTGGAAAGTCTTGAGCTATTTTGCGCTTTCGAAACAAACCATGCTCCTTAAAGTTTCGGGCACGATTTTTGGTTAAAAAATGTCATTGAGTGGTTACTGAAATGAGGCCGGTTTCATTCATCGAAGCAGCTGTTCATCATCCAATAAATTGTTAGAAATGCGCATTTTAAAGGATCTTTCTGGCTTGATTTATATT